CTAACTCTGATGAAGATCACCGATCGATCTAGGATAAATAATTTGAATAATAACAGTGCAAAGGGTATTTTTTATGTGGAACGGGAGATGCTTACGTCATCTAAAAAGATTCTTCGTTCTCTATTAGGAACTTTTGTCGTTGCTGGTTAGCAGCAACGTATAAATCTAACCCTGTAGGCTAAGTAAATTTACATTCCGCCATAGCTCGGGTTATATTAAATTGAGTGAAAAATGTTCTACACAAATATATTACTATTCAAAAGTAGATATTTTCTTATTCTGTCTTCCTTAATTAACAATATAATTGAAATAGGTTTTTTTTCTTAATTAAATGATGAATTTTTATAATATTTTTTCTTTTCTATTCTTTTAAATGTTAGACTTAATAATAATGTTTAATAGATGAAAATTTTTTATTTTACATACATTAAAAAAATATTAGTAAAGTTAGGATGGAATTCTGGTGTATAAAAATGATACGTACAAAAATTGGGGTAGACAAATACTTTTTTGAGCGGTAGTGTAAGCGAAGAAAGCCATATTCAGTCAAAGTGTAATATTTTTGTACGAATTTTTATAATTTCCAGTTCAAGCAAACTGCGCATCTAATTGTTTGTCTGCTACCGTAATTTTAATAATATGTGAATTGAAATGTAAAAGGAATCGTGAATTGAAAACTTGTTAATGTTTATCAATATTAGTAATAATATAAATATATTTATCAGTATTAATAATAATATCATCTCACGGTAGCGGAAAATTGTAGTGTTCTGTAAAGTTTTCTGTTTAAGTAAATTGAACGGCAAAAAATCGTATTACAAGATTTTTTTTGTAAGGGCAAATTTCTAAATGAAAATATAATAGTTCAAACAGATAAAATTGGCATTGGTACAAATTCTGTGATATTAATTTAAACTGATTAACTTTTAAACGCAAGGGGCTGGATGAGAACGGAAAATCCTCCGCAATATAAATGAAAGGAACCAGCGTGCACCTGCTTCCCTCTTTCTGGGAGGTAGAGGGCGGAACTCGAGCGTGGCTCTGCCGTTTTCCTCTTCCTGGAGAATCTTCGAATCTCGGATTGAACATAAACATTAATTCATGATCGGATATATTGATTGCTTTCCAACGGCCGAATAATCAAATCGTTATATTTCCGGCTTTAATAGAGCTCTTTCCTCTTAACAATTGGAAGACGCGATCGTTAAAGCTCTGCGATATCGCATTAATGTCGACGGTTGACCCTTCGCTTTGACCCTGAAGGACTCCTCCAAAGAGAGAGAGAGAGAGAGAGAGAGAGAAGAACGTGGACCCCCAGGATTTCTGTCACGCCGCGAAAGAGAACTGGAAGATTGAACGTCGTCGTTGTTACGGAACGGATGTAACGTTCCCGAATAAATCCACCCCCGTTCTCGCGGGAAGTTCGCGGAAATAACAATAGGTAGAGGAGAGGAATGGTGAATGAGACGCGCCGACAGAGCTGAAAGACGACGGCCATTCAAGGGTGCCCCGGAGCGAGCGGGACCGATGCGCGCGGAGAGATGTGAGCGCGCGCGACCGCAATCACGGTAGCCGGAAGGGTGCAGATAGACGGAATCGAGGAAGGGGGAGGGTGAGGGGGCGCAAGAGAGCAGCTCGCTCCCGAGAGTTGGACGAGACAGAGACGGAGAAATAATTACAGAGACGCCTCGTCGATAAATCAAGCCCGGTGCCCTCTCTCCCCGTCTCTCTCTTTCTTTCTCTTCTCCTCTTTTCCCCTCGCGAGTGTACCCTGCCTGCTATAGTCCCCCTCTAACCGTCCCCTCCGTCGGCGGTGCTGCCCTTTTTCACTATCTCTCTCCGTCTCTCTCTCTCTCTCTCTTTCTCTCTCTCTCTCTCTCTCTCTCTCTCTCTCTCTCTTTTTGTCTCTCTTCTTTTACCCCTTTCCTCTCCTCCGCTTTCCACCGTTAAGCCACGTTTCTTGCTTCGTAGAGCAGAGAGTAGTGTCTTTATTACGCTCAGTGTACCCGACCGCATTCTACAGGCCGACTCACAAACGCATAAGCTCGCTGTCATCGTCGCGGCAATTACATCATTACATGCAAGTTTCTTAATGATCGAAAAAAATAATCAGACTATTGGATGATGTCCACAGAGAAATTGTAATGCATATGTTATTTGCTTTGTGTATCATCTCCCCTGTCGAATAAAGAGACACCTGGCTAAAAATAGAATATTTGCAATTTTTGAAACAACTATCATTGACTTTAATAAAATATAATTAATTTTCTCAAAGAAGTTTAACGACTTTTCTTTAAAAAGCTCCGAAATCTAAGACTATTTAGAATAGAGTTTTGTAGAAAAATGAATATTTCTTTTACATCAAGTTATTATAAATTTAATAATTTTCGTAAATAGAGATTTAGTCGGATTAAATAAAAAAATTCATTTTTTTTCAGCATATTTATTTATTTTTTTTTTTTTTGGCAAGAAAGTATATCATAATTTTCTTAATTTTATATCGAATAAAATTACGTTTACATATAATTATAAATGTTTATTATTTTATTTATATGTACGTGAATGAATTTTACTTTTTAAAATTTGTAATTTGATATAAGTTTTTCTAATTTATCTTTAATCAGATTTAAATCGATAAATTAAATTAAACTAAATTTTAAGAGCGCGCGCGTTAATTTAATACACTCGTACTGCGTTTAATTGCCTTAATTGGCAGATAGGAATAAAAAATACGTTCCAAAGATAGTAGTGGATATCAGCTGTATAATCACGGTGTCGTGCGCGTGGACAAGATCTTTCCTTCTATTTAGTAAATTAATCTAATTAATAAAGTAATTAATCTCAAAAAATTCCATCTTCGTCATTCTTTTCTCACGGAATGTAGGAAACAATTCGTTTTCGTTTCTTTATTCGCACCGTCGCGATCATCCTTTCTACAACGGCGAGGCCGTTTGAGAACCACTTTCGCGCGGCGAGCTATACGGGTGGTCCACGGCGACCGCGTCGTGGCGGAACGAGCAAATACGCCGTCGGCATTTTTGACGGTGAAATCTGACTAGGTGGGATACCAGGATACCCCGCGCGCGCACAACGGCCATCATCCTCGTGTGCCCCTCGTCCATTACTACTGCTCGCCGTATACAGTGTATATACAGCGTATGCTCCTTTAAATCACAACGTGCAAGCGTTGTCCTCCGCAAAGATGCTTTTGAACTTCATATCTAGCTTCTTCAAATGACTTATAAAAAGCGAAGGATTCTCGCGCGAAATGCTCACACGTGCGTGCGCACTTTCGACACAAAATCATTCGTTTTCTCTTTCTCTCTTTTTTTTTTTTTAAGATCGCTCCGAAATCTCTTCCGTAAGATCTTCCTTTTATTCGGAGAACGATGGAGAACAATCGCGATACCGCGACGTTGAACGAAAACACTTGGATGTTTTCCTCAGTCGAAGCCGCAAAGCATTCTCTCCGCTCCGAAAACCTTCTCTCAAAGCTTCTGGATTATATTGTCAGAAACGGAGAATTTCGACGGATCCTTTGCGTCGAAAATAAATTGAACTTACTTTTAAGAGTATTAATCTAATGCGCTCGTAATGCACTATATAAAAAAATTGAGATTTTTGTCATTATTTTATAATAATATCTATATTTCCATATACTTCTATTAGAGTACAAATTATAAAGATATTATTTCTTATTTTGAAATAACTTTTGATCTAGATGATAAACCGTCGTTAACTTTTGTATTACGTTTAATTCTCTTAATCAGTGGATAAAAATAAAATGCCTACCAATAAATAAAAATAAAAATACGTACAAAAAGTAGTATATCGGCTGGAAAATCATGCGAAGCCCACGCATTTTTTTTTCTCTTCAGTAAATTTAGCAATTTTAATCTCTAAAATTTCATTTTATTTTTTTCCACAATTTTTTCATGCCGTCAATTTTGATGATATCTAAATTACCAAAAAATGTTATGTTTTTAATTTAAAAATTATGTTGACCTAATTAAAATTTTGTTATTCTAATCAAATTTTGATTAAAATAACACAATTTTTTAATGAAAGCATAACAAAATTTTGATAATTCAAATATCAATAAAATTATATTTATTCATATCAAACATTTTTTTCAGTGTATCGATTTTATGCTAGAATATTTGAGCAAAAACTGTCTGTAACTGTAATAATTAGAAGGAAAACAACGGCTCGCTAACGCTAACAGGGACGATCTGTGACAGCCAGATTGCGAATCACCCTCTCTTGTCGCATTTCGGTCCGCTATTTTCATGTCAGTTTCCGGGAATGTTTTATTGGTAGACTGCCAGGAATTTTTGTCAGTACAAAGACGTGTAGAACCGTGTATGTTACAACACTGTCTCGACCAATGTTTCTCTTCGGGGAACTGCGCTGATCACAAACATCGTCCGTTGGAAGGTTTACAAAGTCATTGAAGGAACACCTGAAACTTGTGACTGTTCTCATGTTAATCTTCTCGTAAAGTCCAGTGAGTTTGAGCGACCATCATTCAAATAATTTTATTTCGTATTGTTTAGTAGGAAACGTAAAAGTGATCGTTTGCGCCACAAATGACAATGCAAAAAAATTATTTGTCGAATAATTATATTTATCGAATATTTTAAGATTAATTACACATATTTTCAAAATAATGAAAAAATAATAAATTATTCTAAATCGAATTTAAAAGTATAAAATATAAAAAAATTATTGGTGATAATATCTATCATCTAGATCAAAAGTTATTTCAATAATATTTTTTTTTATTTGTGCTTTGATAAAAATCTCATTTTCTTATATAAACATAAGAGAACAATAAAACGACATTAATATCAATAATTATAGTTTCCTTCGATTTTTATTGTAGGCAATTAATTTTTTAAGACAGCTACAGAATTATAATTTGCTAAAAACTCGCTTTATAGATATCGCGTAAATATTCTTGAATTCATGAATAATTACTCACTGACTTCTCTTTGCAGAAGGTGGAAGGCTACAAAAAGAACTTACCTATGCATCGGAAGTTCTCGGCGAGGCAGCCGCCTCGACGCATCAGCTCATCATCCAAACGCCGAGGCATTCCGGGGCGAATATCCTTCATCCGGCCGCGCTCAAGGAACATTTGACGGTGCTGGAGGCTGCGATGAATGTGGAGGTGCACCTGTTCGATATGTGAGTCTTTTTCTCCGTTCACTGCGTTTTCTTATTTGTATATGGAAAGGGAACATCCGGTGTTTAATTCGAAAGCCGAATTAATTAGAGAGAGAGAGAGAGAGAGAGAGAGAGAGAGAGAGAGAGAGAGAGAGAGAGAGAGAGAGAGAGAGAGAGTAGGCTGCGCTTGGCGGCCTAATTAATCCCCTCGAGAAGAAGGATCGTGGCGTTTATACTGGAAGACTCGTTAACGGCGATACAAATCGCGAGAAAAGAGATTATACGCGAGAGAGTAAGTTGCGAATGCGGAATAACACTTTCATATAAAAATGTTTTTTTTTTTTTGAGAAAATTTAATTTAAGAATTGAGTAATTGACATAATGTTTATTGTATTTTGCGTTTAATGCCGCTGTATATTATAGATCGATGAATTCGTTTTATCATATTCTATTTAAGAAAATAGAAACGATTTTTATCTTCATAAATAACTCGTCCAGCAAAATTTCAAATATTGCTTACTATACGTACTTTTTAAATATAGTTTGTTAAATTTTTTAATAATCATTTCTTCGAATACTTTTTATAATAATTTATGTAAAAACATGATTACTTAAGGTAACAATAGATATTAATCTTTTGAATTAATTTTTCAATTCTTTCGGAAGCAAAACTCCAAAGAAACGAGAAAAAAAGTTTTCTTTACATTTTCATCTTGATATTGAATCATTCATTTATCTATTACTTTCTCTATTTTATTAAGTGTTTCAAATATTGGAGTAATTTAGCGATTATAGTTAATATCGCTTTTCGCAAACACATCGATAAATTAATGTCTCGTTTAATTCACATAATTCTTGTCTCTACTTTAAGAATGAAATGACGCAAAGTCTCGTAGTCACGAATGTATGTGTCATTTGCAGCACGTGGAAGCTGAAGGACTTGTGTTACGCGCCGAGCATACCCAACTTCGACATGCACTACATCGACCAGGTAATGCAGCTAACATATATATATATATATATATGTGTGTGTGTGTATGTATATACACACGCACGTATACGCACTCGAGACGGATGCACACACGCGCGCACGTACAGCATGAATGGCGCGCGCGAGCACGTGTTTACGCACCGTCTCTCGATCCCATTAGACCCCTAGTGAAGGCATCAATGCGCGCACGTGACACGTGCACGACGTGTCCGCGTAATAAGCTACCGATAGCTGTCGTTAGCGAAATATCGCGCACGTTTGGTATCGACATTTTCGATACGCATACACGATACACATTCCTTATCAATTCCATTTTACGGTTATTAATTTAAGTTCTGCCATCTGTAATTTTTATATCTTAATAGACAGAAAATAAAGTTTGATCATAATAAGTTTTTTTGAGTAAGAATTTATACCTTTTATTTCTTTTTTTAAGAAAATATTAAATAAGTTTATGTATACTATTATAAACTGATAGTACAGGGTGGGCCATCTATTGGTACGTTTTTAAAAATGCGATCAAATGAGCATACATTGATATTTTTTATTAATTTTTTTTTTATTGTGAAGCTAAAAGTATCCGCGTCAAGAATGAAAAACGATTTCGTTCATGTGGCTCCCTCTACTGGCCTTACAGTATGCCATTCGGTCACCCCAATTATTAATGACATTTTGGACTACCTCGGCGCCAATTTCACTCAAAACAGTCGTAATATAATGTCATCCACTAACATCCCTTTCTCACGAACTTTCCTCACCAATTTGCGTATAGCTCCTTCGGTGGGTGCTCTATCACGACCCATATTTCTTTTCAAAATTCGTACAGTTTCGGCGACACAGCACTGACTTTGAAAATAAGTTTTTAAAATTTCAAAACGCTCTTCAAGAGAAAACATGTTGTTTCGTGCCGCGGACGGTATGACTAATAAACTGTCAAAATTTCGGGTCTGTAGCTCGTTCGGTGTTGCCATACGACGAAATTCAAAAACGTACCAATAGATGGCCCACCCTGTATATAACGATCGTACAATACAATCGTGAAGGATGTGATTCTACATTTAATGAAAACATTAGTTGAAAACGTAGAAAAACATTTTTTCGAGGTTTTTGTTTTCGATTTTAAATATTCATATATCCGAATACTGATTTAATTGATAAATGAAAGTATCAGAACACACATTAGGAAGTGTCCATAAAAATTTATACTTCAAAGAGCAGAATCGTGCATTTAACAGAATGGACAATTTTTAATAACTTATAAAGTAATAAAATTTATCGTTCGTGAATATCTTGTTTTCATTATATATTCTTAATTACCTAGTATAATAATAAAAACACTATGCAATAATAAACATGAGCGAAGTAATAAGTCTATAGCGAGAACCATTAAACTGAGACCATTAAGTTAAATGCATATTGCATACTTGGCAATATTTAAACTCAATTTTCTCGAAAACATAGCCTCAAAAAATGAAAAAAATTTTGTTTTAGTTAATAATATTGGGTGGATTCATATATTCGTTCGGTTTTTGTTAGTAGTGCAAAAACGGAGAATCATATCATTGATTAAAATTCATTCTTTGTATGAAAAAAAACTTGTTTCATTTTACCTTCAAAAACCGAACGAATATATGGATCCACCCAATAGTAACTTATAATTGCAATGTAAAAATAATCCCAAGAGTGATCGTTCACGCAATAAAAAAACTATTTTCTGGTTTAATAATCTGTGCCGTACAAGTCGTACTTCGAATTCGTTTATGTGATAAATTCTTCGGCAGTTTACTTAAAATTCTATTTTCTGTTATTCGTTTGTTATATTTCTTTACAATTATGCAATAGTTAAAAGATCAATCAGCACGTTGTAGGTATATATATTTATCGATAGGGATCTCGTTTTTAGAGAAATATCATGCCAAAGATATTTAAATTTTATGACGACTCCATCGATATCCGCATTGTTCAAGAGAGATTAACATGCATGTACGTTACATCACTTCGCGCGTTAGAGAATGGCGCGACGGTGGCTGTGGTATTTCGAGAGGAAAAACGCGCGTCTTGAGATCTCATAACGAACGCCAATCCCCACTTCCGGGACATCATAAACGTGTTTCGCGCGAAGGACTGCTTTTTTTATGCGCCGTCAAAAACTTATGCTTGGCCATGAATCTCGTTTCTCTCTTCTCCTCTCTTCTTCGCTTTCTCTCTTAACGTTACATAACACGTATAATTCCATTATCGTTTAATTTTATATAATCAGAAGTGAAAAATGTATTATCCAGTACAATAATAAACCTGAGCAAGGATAGTCTGCAGCGCGAGTTATTAAATTGAAATATTCGTCAATAAGAATCTCGTTTTCTCTACAGAAATATGAGATATTTAAATTTTATAATAGTTCCATCAATATCCGCATCATCGAAAAGATATCGGCGTGCATATACGATATATATTAATATGAAGATAATTATTTAGTTTCTTATTATATATGCATAAACGATCACTTGGTGTGATTTTTTACATCTCAATTAAAAGTTACTACTATTAACTAGAATAACTAATAATAATTTTTTAAAGGATCCATTTATTTGCTCTCTACAAGATATTGGTTTCGGAGATTGCTCTGAAATTTAAGGAAATACTTGATAGTTTGCTATGTTTGCTAACAGTATCAACAATAGCAAGAAATGAGCGAGCAAGCGAGAAGGATATTCTCCGTATAGGGCGGTAAACAAAATCCGATCCGACTAATATCCGACTCCGGCATTAACGATCGTCATACGGTTTTTCTGGGTACTAGGCCATTATGAGAGCCCACCTCTGGGTTCCAGGAAACTCGAATAGGGCGGTCCGCGCACTACGTTCTTTCGTAACCCTCGCGCGCCTTGCATTCGACAGCGGGATATAAGATCATCTTAGATTACACCCTGTACAATATCTAAGCGCTGTTTAAACGGAACTTGGTTCTCCATCGCGTTTCCCAAATGACACTTGATAGAACGATCTCACCAAACTCATAATTTGCATTCGTTAAGACAGGCTACTTGCATTCGCCGCTTGTGAGTTAATATTTGTCCAGTTAACTCCACGTTTTCGGTTTCTGCAACGTTTTATTAAAATGATACGCTGAAATTAGACTGAACTGTGAATCACAGTTTGTATTTGGTATCCCTAATTTGTTCGCGAATTATATTAATAATGTCACGATTGAAATACTTATAAAAGAGCAGTTTCTGCTCGACTTCTATCGTCAATTTGCTATCTAGGCATCAATATTAACAGATTCTGTTTGGTTTCTGTTGCTAGTCTGACAACATTCTGTTAACATTTTGCTTATGGAGTAGGTACTTAGTTTAAAGTACATGTAAAAAATTACAATATTGTTTTTTTAATGTAATAAAAGTTCATAAAACGCGTATTTATTATATTTCACACATAAACGTGTCCTGTTTTTATTGCATAATTAAAATAAGTTGGAGTACAAATCTCTCTGAATTAAGGATTGAAAATTGCTTGCGAATTTAATTTGTAATATTATGTAAAATCCAGCTTCAATTTAGAATTGTATTTCAGGATCAACTGATCCTCGCACAGTTTACGTTAACTATACAAATTCCAACAATAAGATTCACGCAAAAATATTGTTATGGGCATCAAATCCCCTTTGATTGAATATGGCCTTTTTCGCTTAGGTATTTGCGTTGAAAATTTCTCGGTCGATTTGCAGTTATTAAAAATTGGAAAGTTTTCTCGTCGCAAATAGCAATAATATGATAAGAATGATGCAATAATAAGATGCAATAATAATCCGTACTACTTCAGACGTAATTTTAAAGTTGGAGAGATTTAAGTTAATTAAGATTAAAGATTTAAGTTGGATTATGCTCGTTGATGAAATCAAAATATAAATTTGCAACAGTGTGCAGTGGAGAGATTTATGCTGTGCGTCTCCTCTCTTTCGAGATGCAAATCTTCCTATGCCTATGCAATTGCGTGCGGACGTGCACGCACCGTATCGGTTGCATACACACGGGGCAAGGTTGCGAAGAACTCGGGACAAGAGAACGAGCAATTAACATTGAATAATGACGCCGGCGTCCCGCTGCGGTATGCGGCATCATGTTAGGTGTGGTTCAAGCCATTCCACGAAACAATCACTTTTCGGAGCAGAGAACCCGAATAACCCTCCGAATTTTAATCATCGCGAAATCTGTTACAGAAAATTCTAACTGACATTTAAATATGTCCACATTTTTGTTGTTAGAAACTGAATACATCGTTTGTTATAAAAAAAAATTAATTAATAATGATATTTAATTAAACTAAATTATTGTTTCATTAATTAAGATATATTCGTCTGATTCTCTAATTACGAAAAAATGTATTTACTTGTTGTTCGCAGATCTTCGAAAGTATTATTCCTTGCGCCATCATCACACCACTTGATTGTTTCTGGGAAGGTAGTAAACTTTTGGGTCCAGAGTTTCCTGTTCATGTACCGTAAGTATTATCAATTTTTTTACGATTTGTAATTGACGATAAAGAGATGTAGAGCTGCAAACTCGTTCTTTTTTATATATAAATTTGTTTAACATTAATACCATCGGCATTTAAATTTATCTTTCTGACATTTAAATTATTAGGTGTTGGAATTAATTCGTAGCGTTTTACAAGTGATGGGAAGTACTTTCATTAATGTATTTTTTAATGCTCATGTGAAATAAATAACATTCTTTCATTAAAAAACGCTACGAATTAATTCCAACACCTAATATTATTTATGTTAAATAAATTGTTCTCGCATATGAACTGTAATATATAAATGTTTATGGTAATTTTTGTTAATGTTTGCAATTTGTTATGTATCTATTTATTTGAATTTTATTATAAATTTTAAGTTGCTTTTTGGCAAATAGAAATAAATTAGTTAAATCAATAAATTTATTTCGATTTCTCTTTTGATTAAACAGTGGTGTGAAGAACAACAAGCGCGTCAAGTGGACGAATCTGAATCCTTCCATATTGTTGGAGGAGATAAAGGGTTTGCTGGTCTCATTTCCCTTTAAAACACTTGAGGACTATATGAAGAGGGCCGGGATAACGAACGGTTATCAAAGCAAACCTTGCCTGAACCCAGAGGATCCAGAATGCCCGGAAACCGCACCTAACAAACAATCCAAACAGGTAAAACCCGTTAACATGATTGTTCGCTCGACATTAAAATCGTCAATTCCATTGAATTCTATAAAATCATTGAGAAGCAAAAGACAAATAATAAAGTATTCTCTCTTCAACGTACATCTCAAATCTAGATAGACTTTAATCTTTAAAAAATAGAGGTTCATTTTCTCAAAATCTTATAACTTATCCTTGAATAAGATTTGTCATTATATCATTGCATTTCTTGCCTCAAAATATAACACTGTTTCAGTGCTACTATAGTAGATATTATAGTAGACTTTATGTCCTATAAAGAGGTCTTATTCGTGTTATTTGTACTTTTTACACTTAGCATTTTCGCCTTTTCTCTTTGCAACACCTGAATATATATTTTAAGTGCAAACTTTAAGTGCATTTTTGGAAATTTCAAGCAATGCGAACAGACCTAATATTATAAACCTCTATCAAACTAGAAATTAAGATTGCAAATTGGATTAGAATCTGACTAATCAGAAAAAAGAGAAAACCAATATCAAGGTAGTCAAATTTGCTTTGATTGATCAAATTTCAATGCAATCTCATTCTTAATCTCTAATCTGATAGGCTTTACAATTTGCAGCGCAAGAAATGTAAATACGTGCTTTGACTAAAAGTATAGATTTCGGAAACGGGACGAAAGATTGGGATGGGAATCCGCGATCGTAGTCTGTAATTCGACGAATGAATACTTGTGTGTATTGCGTTGAACAAAAAAAGAAGACGCTGTGTGACACGATAGGTAATATAAAGACTGTCAGCGGCGAAACATTCGTTCGTGCGCCGCATTGAGAATAACAAGCGATCGTTTGAAATTCTCTACCGGATACGATGGCCGGTTGTGGACACGTACGTATATATGCGAACCGCTGGGTGCTTTGATGTCCAGCCCGCGGAATGACGGCGATGAATATTTAACTACGCGTTTCAATGCGATCGAAATCGAGTTTCTTTCACGCGTACGATCACGAAAGACTTTACTCGAATGTCCTGTTTAATCGTTCTCATTATGACAGTTTTAATTTAGGTTATATCGCTCGTTTGCTACAACAACGACGTAATTCTAAAATTATCAAGTAGAAGTTGCTTATGTAGAAAAAGAACAGAAAAAAAATATGTTTTAAAAGAATACTTTTATTTTTTATTGTACTAAATTCTATTATACTAAAATTAAATTTCAAAATTAATTCGAAGGAGAAATTCAATATTTAATTAATTTTTATGTGGGAAAAATATATGATTATTTATTAGCGCTAAATTATTTTGCCTATTTATTACAATATAAGACCCGATTGCACTAACTTTGACTTTAAAGTAAAGCTTAAAATTCTTTCTTTCTTTTTAAAATTGAGAGAGACATGAGTCTTAGAAACATTTTTTCATGCTAAAAGAATATACGATTTCTTAGGACTTACTAAAGTTTTTGTTATTAATTTAATTTTTTAAAGAATTGTTTAAATTCAGAATTGCAAAATAAAATAGTGAAACAAAATTATTCCAAATACTATTTAAAAATTTCTTCTGATTATTCCACGATCTATATGTTTCAGTTACGTGTGAATATTATAAAATTTTAATGATCAAACTTCATTTTTTGAGTTAATGTACATCAGCGATATATATGTAATGAATGATAGTTTATGTTAATTTTTCATTTGTGTGGGTCATCCACTTGTTTGATTTTTAATATGAATTTTAAGAAATAGTAAAGAATCGATTAAATCGATGGACAGAAATCGTCTTCCAATCGTATGTTTCTTACTTGGGAAAAGGGGGTTAAAATTCTTGGTAATAGAAAAACGTGTCTCGCGTTGCGATGAATCCGCGGCAATCGGCACGTTCGTCGCATATATCGCAAGATAAGAAGGTGGATCGGAAGGGGGAAGGCCGGGGTGGCGGGATAAAACTGTCTGAATGAAAGGACGATCCCTGCGCGAAAATGGTCGATGAGTATGCGAGTCGCGTGGGCCGCGGCGCGGTGTGGCGGCCTATTAAAATAATAAAATCGAGTGACGTGCGTCATTATTGCGCTACGCCGGTGGTCGCGGCTGGTCGCGGCGCGGCGGAGCATGCCCCGGGGCCCGGCCGGTCTGGGCCCGGCCCGGCCCAGCAGCGGTCCCACACACGCGCACCGCGCATCGCATTACGCGGCCGTCATTTCGGTGTCATTAACATACGCACGGCCGGCGTGCTCTGACACGTGCACAACGTGAATCGCATCGCTACGCGCGCGTGTGCGTATATTAGCATCGTCCAAGATCTCTCTCTCTCTCTCTCGCTCTCTCGCTCTCCTTTTCTTCCTTTTAATCTGCCCTTTTCCTTATCTTTTTCTTTCTTTCTCTCTCTTTCTCTCTCTCTCTCTCTCTCTCTTGTTCTTTCTCTGTCAGACACACACCTATTTCTATTTTCATAACGGATACGCGCGCTCTCGTACTTAAAGTAATTGCACTTAATGGCCACGCGGCGCGTCCGCGTGGCATGCATGCGCTTCAGAATATTTCGAATGTAGCTGCAGGCGGGGCACGTTGATCGGGTGTTTAAGTCAAGAACCGGCATCGCGTGTTCCGCATATGCACGGAGTCCCGAAGAATCGCGTTCACGACCGGCTCAGCGTCACGACGCGAATACGTATGTTTTTGCCTTATTAATTCAGCGTAATTAATTAATTAGCCGTCAATTCTTAAGTCAGGACAGAATTAATAATGAATTCATAGAAGTAATAAATTTTTATTTTGTTTGCCGATAAAATGTCGAGACAATTCGTATGTTAAGGCCCATAATGAACACGCGTAAACATACCACACATTAAAAAATATCGGTGCGGATTTAACACCCAAGCAATGTTCATATATGTAATTCTCAACGTGCACGTTGATATTGATATTAACATGATGTTGATTTATAATTCCTGGTGTTCATATTAACTAAGTTCATCATCGTGGATTTAAAATCCATATCGCATTGGTGTTAATATTAATTATGTTCGAAATTATGCGAATCATTGATTCGATTTCGGTTCAATCGCTTATTTTATTCGCTTCATTTATGCACGATTCTTATAAATTAAAATTTATTCTTCTTGTTTACTTAAAAAATCTGGAACGTTATTGAAAATTTATTACTTTTAAAATAGCTTGTAAAACTATTTCTGCGGCAGAAAATAAATGTTATTACATCAAAGATTCGATTCGATTCAAATGCTTGATTTGCATACTTCTAGTAAGAATTATATGGATACCATATGATGTTGAATCCACACCAATATTTTTTATAGTGCATAGTAATTAGAGAGACGCGAAAGCGTAACTCATATCCACGTCGAGCTATTTTTCTCTCAAACATGTACCAACGCTGGAAGACGGCGGAACGTATCGCGAGCACAAGTAAAAAGCATGAAAAGCGTGCCAGCAACTCGGCTACATTCTACACGCTTCTTCGTGGAATTACATAACGCCGGTGTGAGGTAACCGATTTCAATCACACGTACGATCGAGAACGATTACGAAGCTTTATTTGATATATGCTTTTTCTATGTACTTCGTCGCACTACTATCTACACTTCCGCGATGCAGCGGCATTTAATGGCGTGCTTTCAATTCAATTAGGACGACACTGTCTAGTCATCCCAATTTAACGATTGCATTTAATTAATAAAAGAAGAAATAAAAGTCTTCATATAAAGCGGTATGACAAAAATTATGCCTTTCTCATAAATCTTTTAATCCTCTATTTTTTTCTTATCGTGTCTTTTACAACTTTTTTTTTAAATATCTTTTCAACAATTTACAGTTTTAAGTCTTATATTAATTTTTCAGTCAGTTAAATCTGACTTAAGATTTAATCAAGATTAATCAAGATTAAGAATTATGATTTTTTCATTTGTTTCTCTAAATTTTTTTATTTTTTCAAAGAAATCCTTTCATTTTCGATCGCTTGTAAGTAACATAAAAGCTTCGTAAAGGATATTTTTATAAAGGAAAAATTGAGGTGAAATTGATCAAAGAATCCACGGGATTTCGAAGAAAACGATGACCGCAGCGTCCTTTCTATACGCGTAAAGGAAAGAAAAGTCTTGCTCGAGATATGTCCAGATACAGTAATAATTCCGTCGTTGAGATTCTATTCTTCGTGCCGCGTTGTGGCGGACGCTCATCTGTTCTGGTATGATATAAAGGACAGTGGACAAGGCAGCTTGATCGTCTAAAGTCACGGCTGGTATGCCCTTTTATAGGACCCTATAAAGTCTCTCGGTGTGGGGTCCACGACACCCCCGGTTACCCTATAAGAAAGAACGTCGCTCGAACCCCCTGTAATAATTCTTTGCCATAGGAATTCCTGGCGTGACTTGACACGGTTCTGCCTTCGGTCACGCTTGAGAAATTCATAGATGAAAAACAAAATGTTGCGGAAGGGCTTGAGGTGGCGGATAGGAAAAGAAACACTTTTCTAGTCCCTTGCGCTTGAAATGGTTGTCGCTTATAAAAAAAATCACGGGAATTAATCTAATTTCTAATTATCATTTTCATTTACATTTATTATCATCATCGTCGAAATCTAATTAATAATTAAAGAAATCGTTGCTCTTAGAAATCAGTTATTTTACATTTTTAGTTTTTTGATCGCGCGGATGAAGTTTTATTTTTAAAAAATGATATCTGGAAAATCATTTTCAAGTGGTTCCTTTTCATATAATTAGATTCTAAAATTATAATTTTGCTCAGAGGGCAGCTTTCCATTTTACTAATTTCCAATTCTACATTTTCTATAATAGGTACCTGATGTAGGAGTCGAATTGTCAGGTGGTTGCTATGGATTCGCGGCCAAATACATGCATTGGCCGGAGGAACTGGTGGTCGGCGGTGCCAAGCACAACAAAACGGGCCATTTGACTCGCGCGGCTGCGCTGCAAACTGTGGTGCAGCTGATGGGCGAACGCGAGCTGTACGATTTCTTGGTGAACACCTACAGGGTCCATCATATCGATTGGACGCAGGAGAAGGCGGCTAAAGTTCTAGAGACCTGGCAAAGAATATTTAGTAATGAAGTGAAAAAGTTGATGGAGATCAACGGATCGGCACCGTACAATCTGTACGCTTTCAGCACGACAACTATGAATGACATCCTTGGGAAGTACAGCGAGGTGTCCGTCATGAAGATCGCGATTGGTTGCGTACTTATGGTTAGAAATAACTCTATTATGTGTAATTGAAGAAAAATAATTAATAATCTTAATGTAACAATAGGCGAACTCATTTTAATAACGGAGAATAAAAGCATTTTTTCCTATCACTTTAACTTTCACTTTAAAGTTCATTTCCTTTGTTTTTAAAATATTATGTTAATCCACTGTTGCAGCAAACTTTTCAATTATTGTAATACCGTAAAGTTTAAAGATACTGAAAATATTTTTATTTTACTTATGTATTTTATTATGATTCAATTTCTGTTTTATTTTTCTAGTTGCTATATGCTGGTGTAGCTCTTTTTCGTTGGAAAGATCCAGTGCGTTCACAGTCCGGGGTAGGAATGGCTGGCGTAATGTTAATTTGTGCCACAGTAGCTGCAGGATTGGGTTTCTGCGCTCTTTTGGGGATCCCATTTAATGCCACCACGACGCAAATAGTGCCATTTCTTGCCCTCGGTCTGGGTGTACATGATATGTTCCTGTTAACGCATACGTATGCGGAACTGTCGGTAAACGAAGTGCCCAGCAGTGAGCAAACAGGAGTCGTTCTCAAGCGGACTGGCTTGTCGGTGCTACTGACAGGTCTGACCAACGTTATTGCCTTCTTCGCAGCATCGATAATTCCGATCCCGGCTCTCCGAACGTTCTGCATGCAAGCCGGTATTGTGCTATTGTTCAATTTGGCCGCCATGCTGTTGATATTTCCTGCGATGGTCAGTTTAGATCTACGACGTAGACGTTCTGGTAGGAAAGATATTCTCTGCTGCTGCTTACCGGCGTCACCCAATCTCGGAAAGAATAGGTACTCCGTAAAGACCAACGGCACGGCTAAGCAAACGGTTACCAGGGCGATACCACCTGAGAGACGAGAAACCTGCACACAGATCTTAACTCCACAGAATACACAGAATGAATCTTGGGTACGAAATGACATATATGTATACATATCGCATATATACTGGATTTTGTTTGAAGTCGTATTGTGAAATATCAAATTTTAATATTCGCTATATTAGAGATTGAAGAAATTTATTTGATAAATGGTTGCTTGATTATAAAGAGACTTGATAAAAATCAATAACAATTGCTTTTTATGTATTTACACAAGTTGAAATTAATGCAGAATCATCTACAAGTATTCCATTCGTGTTGCAGATAGGTGGAAATGTTATCGATGCGGAACTGGATAAACAGTGCACTGAAGAAGACGCGCTGACCGGCTGTTCACAAGATGATTGTCTGAGCTTTTCCTTGACGCAGCTTGCGTCTCGGCATTACGCACCCTTTATCAGTCGAACGGCTACCAAAGTGTTTGGCGTGATAATTCTGGTCGCCGTGTTAGTTGGTAGCATATGGGAGGCGGTATCCCTACGTGATGGCCTGGATCTGACTGATTTAGTGCCACAGAACTCAAATGAGCATGAATTCCTGTCTGCCCAGGCAAAATATTTCGGTTTCTACAACATGTACGCAGTCACCGGTCGAGATTTTGAATATCCGACTAATCAAAAATTGTTGTTCGATTATCATGACAGTTTTATGCGGATCAAGAACGTCATCAAGAACGACAATGGTGGTTTACCTGAGTTCTGGCTTAGTTTGTTCCGCGAATGGCTAAAGGGTTTACAGGCCGCATTTGACAAGGACTATGAAAACGGCTGCATCACTCAGGAAAGATGGTTCCCGAACGCGAGCGACGAAGCAATCCTAGCATATAAGTTACTCGTGCAGACCGGTCATGTGGACAATCCGATCGATAAGACGTTGATTACTAGTGTACGACTGATTGACGGTGACGGTATCATTAATTCACGTGCTTTTTACAACTACTTGAGTGCATGGGCGTCCAACGACGCGCTTGCTTACGGTGCTTCACAGGCAAATTTGAGACCTGAACCACGTCAATGGATCTACATTAATGACCATGAGCTCAAGATTCCTAAGAGCATGCCGCTTACGTACGCGCAGATGCCGTTTTACTTGCACAGGCTCACGAATACGCAAGATATCACAGAATTGATCAGTAGCGTCCGGGAACTGTGCAAAAAATTTGAAGAACGCGGTTTGCCGAATTTTCCGTCCGGTATATTGTTCCTCTTCTGGGAACAGTATATGAATTTGAGAACCTCCATGTGTATCGCTCTTGTGGCTGCATTGGGTGTAAGCATCTTAGTGGTCGGATTCCTATTGTTGAACATATGGGCTGCTGTGCTGGTTGGTTTCTTTCTTCTCGTTGTTATTGCTGAACTACTAGGCGTTATGAGTCTGTTCAACATCAAGTTAAGCGCAGTACCTGCCGTACTGTTAGTGGTTAGTGTGGGCATAGCTGTTCATTTCACGGTACACATCTGCCTGGTAAGTAATTTAAGAAGTTTTTTCATTAACATATCTTATTTTTTAGTCCTTTCAAGCATTAGATTTATAATATCAAAACCAAAATATTTTTTTGAAAATTAAAAGTGATTGAACGTTTTGGCTGTATTGTGATTATTTTATCAACTGTTTTTTCATCAATCGTTAATGACATAAATCATTATTGATATATTTATGCATCAACATTTTCTCTAATTGATTTTTCCCTATTTGCGTTTTTTATTTTGCATAAGTCGTGTCTCTGTTAACATAAACGCGTAATTCTGTTTCAGAGTTTTGTCACTAGTGTGGGTAGCAGAAATCGCAGGATGCGTTTAGCTCTGGAACATATGTTCGCTCCGGTTGTCCATAGTGCGTTCACTACGCTACTCGCCGTAGTGATGCTCGCTTTCTCGGAGTTCAATTTTATAGTCAATTATTTTTTCCTTGTATTACTCAGTGTGATCGGTATCAGTCTTGTGAATGGCATCTTTTTCTTCCCTATTCTATTGTCCCTTATCGGTCCGAAGGCGGAAGTAATTCCGAACGATCATCCGGATCGTATATCCACGCCGACGCCGCCGGCATCGCCCGTCGTGAGAAGATCCAAGCCGCCCACACCACCGAGGAGATCTCACAAAATCGATAATGCTCGGCTGCATGCTGAACCATCGCTCACAACCATTAGCGAGGAACCCAACTCGTGGCACAGTACGCAGGAATCCTGTATTATTGTTCAACCGGAACTCAAGGTGGAGACCACGTCCACATGTAATCAGGTGCGTTGAGATTCACGATCAATTAGTTGTTTATAAGCATGAGAACGTAACTTTCTATAATAAATTATTACACTTTTCCGAGCATGACTAACGAGCGTGTTCTTTCATTTTGGCTAACAGAACTGTAGCGGATCGGATACGAGTGGGTCTAGTCGAACGTCGCCGATTCCGCCCACATCACACATCACCACTAAGGTCACTGCAACGGCGAACATTAAGGTCGAAGTTCATACACCGTTAACTAGTAGGTATTCATTTTAAACAATTCCTAAAAGTTATTCCAAAATATTCCCTTAACGTAATTTGAGACTTTAAACTAATTCGAAATCTAACTAACGCATGTTACTGTGATCGAATGTAATTATATTTATGTATTGCTAAAAATATTTGCTTTTGAATTATTTTAACTTTTTTTTTTATAGAGAGATTGTAAATTATGGTAACTTTTTTATATAGTCTTACTTTAAAAATTAGAGTAAAATTTATATCATTAAAATTTGTATGCATTATAAGACTCAGAAAGAATCCACAAAACATGTAATGTATCTTTTTTTACTTTTCTATGCAAATATCGCTATTTTCACGCTACATATATTTATTTATTTAATTCCTATTTTAATTTGTTATTGCATTTTCTTAAATCGATATGAGGGAATTATAACAAATATATTTATTTTTATGATAATTATAGGTGGAATGGATCGTAGTGAAAAATGCCGGCACTCGGGCAGCAATAGTCGAAGGAGCTCGCGCTGCAATACGAACGTTAATGCTGGGGAGTCTTCCGGTTCCGAGCCAGATTCAGACTCTAACGCAAAACATTAATAACAAGTACCGGGGGGACCGGCAGCTACTGCTCAAGTACCACGCAAAGCGGGAAAACACAGAAGGCTGACTAGGATAGATTAATAGATTTTCCATTATCTCTTCCTGTTTTCCTCTTTCCCCTCTCCTTACCTTTACTTAGCTCTCTATTTTTCGGTTCTAAACTGTTTTTCTCCCTCAAGTGAGTAATGCAATGAATTGTTTTACTCAAACTTTAAAGACAGAAGTATTATAACACAAACCGCAACTTCATAATATATATATGAATATTTTCATTAAAAATTTTGTTGCATGTTTAATTTTTTGTGTTTTTACAACGAATTTTTTAAAGTTTTAAGTAGACCTTTTCTGTAAGAACCAACATTGTATTTACTTAATTAGGATTTGTTATTATCAGCGGACTATATTTACATTTTATGCGTATATTAATGCGTGAATTATTATAAGATTTTTAAGTAAATTGTTAAAGTTTTTAATGAAAAAAATTTTAACCGAAATTATATAAAAAACAGGATACTATTCAAATATTTCAACATTGTTAAATAACATTACCAAGGACATTAATGCGTACAATTTACTAAATCAATGTATTAGATTATTTTAGATAAATACATATTTTTTAGATAAATTTATTTAATTAGTGACTTGCGGCGTCACAAGAGTAGTTCGTGTCATGTACTACTGGCAAGTATATAAGAACATTATATGATTTGTACTCTTTCGAGAAAGAGGGAAGACAATACTTGCCAGTATGCCTTTATTTATCAGAGACTGACACTAATATCTATGTCAGTGAGCGTATTCGTAATATTTGCGTAATACATAACGGGAGAGAGCATTTACTAAAATGTATATATACATACTTATTATTTAATTAGAAAGTTAAAGATATTACTGTCAATAGAAGAACGCGACATTTCTCAAATGTAATCGTGAAATTTTGCGATGATGACGCTTTATTGTGCGACAAAAACGACAAAATTTCCAAATAGTACTATTTATTTTTTTTCTACATTAATCATGTTACGCGCAGTGTGTATGTATGTGACTACGAGCGGTATACTGAATCTTTGAGACCTATTTATTATTTATTTTAATAATAGTATTCCTCGGCATTTCTGCGGGTGTGTGTGCGCGAGCGCAATATTTTGTACGCATAAATATATAATGACTTTCTTGTAAAAATAATTATTTATATCGGACTATACGAGAATACTTTTCATTGCCTACGACAATAATGGTACTTAATTTAATGTGGAGTATATATTCCTATTCTGATATTCATACCTCTAATGTGTATATAAAATTGTAATATATAGTACCAGTGACTGCGGCATGCATTGTCATAAGGTGTGACTCGTAAAATTATGTATAATATAACGAGAAGTATTCCTTATGCCAAGTCAATTTTGTATACATATGCGAGACTCGAGGTGTGTATTTAAAGTGACGAAAAGCATTCTGCAGAATGGCTTTTGCATTTTGTACATGTTGTATAAGCTCGGATGGGAAAAATAGTCAATATACCTCTAATATACGTATAAATTGTACCATGACTTTTATTTTACAAACTTCATTGTAAGAATTTAATTATTTTTCATATAATGAATGTGTGTAGAAGCGGGTATTTGTACGATTTATAATCTAATTTTTGTAAATATAAATATTGTAATAATAACATTATCTTTATTGCCGTTATGATATCGGCAATATCGTAAATAAGATTGAGATACAAAATTAATATTATAGCAAAGCACATTAAAATTGCATAAATCAAATTATAAATTATATAATGTTATTAAAAAATTGCATTAAATTATATAATATTAATTTTCTTTTGTGTAGATATTTCTAATAATCTCGCGACAAATTTAGTTTATATTCCAATTTTAATTGTAAATCTTCAAATTTAAAACCGTTTAAAAATGTAAAAATGTTTAAAACTGCAATTTCTTCTTAGGGTTTTTATTAATTCTTATCATCTAATATCTAATTATATTTTTTCTTAATTTGTTTCCATAATTAAGTTTTCATGATTTGTTTATGTCAATATTTATCGACGATTGAGATAGTTGTGACCTTATAACACAATCTCTCATTGATATTTTATTTTAAAAAATCTCAAATAACTTATTTTATAATATGAAGTAACAATTAGTGTAGTGTTTAATTTAATTAAAATTATAAAACAATTTTATATTATAATTTTTAAAAAATAATGAAAATTTTCAGTTAATATTAATAATAACGGAAGCAGTTCTGATAACCTTGACCTTGACATATGTTGTCAAAGTCATGACCCTGAGTGACCTCCAACAATGACTATATAATACGAAAATTACCTGCTTTAAAATATGTTTGATAGTCGTGCACTGCAGGAGATGCCGCGATGACCGCGATTTTGACATATGTCATCAAGATCATGACTTTGAAAGACCTCCAACAGATTTTAGATGATTTAGGTAATTTTCACCTTCGATTCTCACTCCCTCTCATCCCCTTGCAAAGGGACGCACGACTCACCTTCGACTCTCACCCTCCTCTCCCCTCCCTAACCTAATGTACTACAATATATTTCACATGATTATATTGTTCATTTGTTTTGGTGGGTACTTTTGACAAACGTATTGAACATTTTTTTGAAATAATAACCGAATTGTATCCGTTAGAATCGTTAGATAATTCTATATAGACATTCAGTGTTCATTTAACATTATTGTCATTTGCTTTTTCAATATTATATTTAACAGAAATAAAACGTTATTTTTTCAAACTTTTTTTGTTAATGAAGGACGAACAACGGTTAAAATCTGTTGGAGGTTAGGGTCATGACCTTGACAATATATATCAAGGTCAAGGTTATCGGAGCTGCTTCCATTATTAATATTTACCAACATTTCTTGACAATTGATAACAAGGTATCCTCAACCTACAACTATCGACGTCCTCCCTCATGGAGATTGGAGGTAGGTGGAGCTAATGGCCATTTTTTTTGAAGGGACGTCATGAAGACCGAAGTAACCTAACCTAGAGAGGCTATAAAAAGAGTGACACTAATTGGCTAGGAATCGCCATTTGTGCCCTATATGACATGATATAATTTCTCTCGTTTTATCCTCTTCTTTCTAATTAACAGTAAAGCAGATCGCAAGTTTGTTATAACAGTCAATCTGAAGCTTGCATTTTGAAATCAACGCTTTATATATATTGGCTGTTGCAATTTGCGATCAGCTTGCAACTAATGTAGAACCGGCTTTAATGGCTTCCGCACACAGAACGGCAACGAGATGCCGCGCGGCGGAAGTTGGCGAGATAGCCAATCAACGTCTCATTTGCGGAAATAATAGATATATAATTTCCACCGCGCGACAAAAGTTGAACTTAATCTAACTTTTGTGCGCGGCGGAGATAATATTACATCATTTCTAGAAGTTTTGTATGGTGAGGACGACTTAAGAATATAGAATTATTGATTAGTGCGTTAATTTTCGCCGCGCGGCAAGCGCGTCACGTTCTGTGTGTAGGGCCATAAGGACACTAAATGGCGGAGCCAATCAGTATTAGGCACATGCATTGGCGTCACTCTCTTTACACCTAAAGAGAGTTCTAACCTAACCGATCATGTGAAATTTAAATTCAAAGCGATGCTGAACGATGTCACGTGCTCCGAAAAAAAGTTATTTACATTGCTCCACATATCTGACGTAAATATTTCAGTAGAAAAAAAAAGCGAAGGACGTAGTACCTTGCGTACAGTGATTGAAGTAGCTACCTCAAAATAATATTGCTTTTTAGAAATTAATATTCTTGTAAACTTGATTAAGGTAAAGGTTGCATTCCATTGCACGCCTAATGTACATGATGTATCATTTTTATTCTTGTTTAATACTCTGTGAACAAATATAAAATGATGCGCGTTATATGCATGCAACAAAATGAAGCTAAAGAAAGATATGTTTGTATTTGTGGTTATATGCACTTTCTTGTATTAATTATATTTAACATTGTAAAGTACAAATTTCATTATATATATTATTTAATTCAATCTTTGCAGCGAGCTGTGATGGATGAAGATAGATTTGTGAAACAGAATGAGGATAATCTGGAAGAGATAATTGATAAACAAACCATAAGACTCCAGGAATTGGATATGGCCACAGCATTAATAAAAAGTATTATTGTGGCATTTGTTGCACTTTCATAAAATTTTAATGGATGGATTTTTTTGTGGATGGTTTTATATACTGGATATAATCTAAGAGGAGTCATCTCCTTCCAATGAAATATTGAAATTTTGTTTTATTGACACAAGATAAAAAAGAGAATAGCTTATTTGTTTTCTGTGTAATAATGTATTTGTTGGTATTTGCCAGAATCATATTTTATTTCTTATAGGTAAGCAAAATATAAAAGGTGAACTTCAGGATGCACATGAGGAAGTACAGCAAATTTCAGGTGGCATTAGCGAAGCAAAAAGAATGTTAAGTAGAATGCATGAACAGAATTCTCGTTTGAAAGTACGTATAGTCAAATTATTTCTAAAAATTATTTCAAGAATTAGAAATTAATTAAGATTATTTATATGAAGGAAATATTCACGTTAGTTGAAACTTTGGACAAAAGAATTCTTCATCAAGAAAGAAATATTCCACCTGAACTTATACAAGGTTATCAGGATGCCATGTATACTCCTTTGTCAGAATATCCTATAAATCCAACGCACCAGTCGACTAGAAAAACACCCAATAGTGTAAGAAACATCACAACATTTGAAAAGGAAGAAACAGTGAAAGATTGTAAAAGAACACTTTTTAATGAACCAGAAGTATGCCCAACAATACAATTTATCACTGCAGAAGAGTTCAATGCAGTACCTAAATATATTATTGGAAGGCAAACTGTTAATAGTTTAGAGACAATTAATCACTTTATAAATGCTATAAATCAAACGTTAATTGCAAAGTATACACTTTTATCCATGGGAAAGGCTGTTGCTCAAAAAAAGGGTGATATTAATTTGTATTTATACTATAAAAAGCAAGAGCTCGATATTCGAGATGAAGATGGTAAGTCAGTTTATTTAAGTATGTTAGTAAATATGTGTAAATAGTCGTAATAATATGTAAATATATGTATTTCACGTATGTGTGGAAATTTTTGCACGCCACTGTATATTTTATATCAAAATAATTTTCAGGATATCTCTACTTCTTCACAGCTGAGGATTATTATAGACAAACGAAAACAAAAATTGATAAGACCAAGTTGAACTTACTAACAGCATTGCGCCATTGCAAACGTTTACGAGAATGTAGAATCAGAAACGAATTACGATATGTTATAACGTCACATTAATTTATACAATTTTCTATGTATTCATAGACTTTTAACATTATCGTAATAAGAAAAATGTATTAATTTACTAATAATGTTCTGAATATATGTATACTTTTAATAGACAGATATTGTTTACTGCCTATTATTAACATGGTATAATTTTAAAATCTATGGAAATAGCATATGTACGTTATTTGCAATATTTCTTAAAAAATTAATATTAGAAATATTGATATTTTTATATACGAATTATCAATTTTTGTAAACAATTATATAAATCTATATAAAAATATAATAAATATTAAACCATGTTACCAAAATTACATACGTTTTATTTTTGCTAAGATTAATTTTTCTATATTATTCAGTAAATATTTTTAAGTAATTCAATAAAGTTGTTAACTACTGCCTAATTCTGTTTTATATACATACATATACATAATATATATGAATTAAATAAAAAATATTTAATCATGTATACATATATATATATATATATATATTTATATATGTATATATATATAACCTCCATTTCTCTATGCTCTTTTATTTGTATTAAATTTAGAGACAAAATAGAAACGGCAAAACAGCCTTCAATTGTTTCAGAAGTAGCAGGCAGTTATTCCAGTTAACTAACCAATCTATTTGTTCGTTTTTGAAGAAGCTGAATCGTGGTAGCACGAAATTTCACTAAATCAAGAATATTGAGTTTGCCATGAAAGAATATTTGAATATTTGTGTTCTTTTCAGAGAAAAAAAAGGTAATCTATGTTTTATTCCAAGTATTTTTTACAATGTGTAAAATAATTTGATAAATTTGTTATAATTAAGATGTATTGTAATTTTGTTTTAAATGTTTAGAGTAAATAAACGAGCTAGAAAAATTAGAAAATATTAAATAATATTTAAAAAAACATGGTTTTTTTAATAAATAATATTCACTGTAATTCATAGGTAAAAACTATTATAGATATTATATTTAATATTTAATATCTTAGAATTTTATAAACATTTTACGAAAGATAAGTGGTTAAATATAAGGTATTTGTAATTGATTATTATCACATTGTATAAATTTAACTTGCAGCGATAAAACATGTTCAAAACAGAGTCAATTAGTACATTAAGTGATTGTGAAGATGATATTGACAATTTGGAGGGTTCTATGATATGGTCCCAAGAGGAGCCACTTTCTTCCAATGAAATATTGGAATTATCGGCACAAGATGACAGAGAAAACAGCTTATTTGCTTTCTGTCGATTGTGTGCTGGTCAAACTACTAATCCAATATATATCTATTCTGAATCTGGAGAATCAATGAAATTGGCACATAAAATAAATACATGTCTAAGTATTAAGGTAAAATATTCTTTTTACTTTGTAAACGTATATATTGCATACTGTGATTCTTATAAATATATAAAGAATGAGAATAAACCTATAAATGAAAGAAATAGGGAACAGGAAACAGAGAATAAGAATTTCAATCTATCAGAAATCATGTATTGTAGAATACACAGTTTCTGTTAGATTGAAATTCTTATTTTCTGTTCCCTGTTCCCTATATTCCTTTCATTGTGTGCAGCCCCTAATACAATCGGAAAAGAGATAAGTCTTTGTACAAAAGTTAAAAATATAGAATAAACTTTTTTTGTATGAGGTTTTGTTTTTGAGAAAAGACATTTAAAAATTGCATTGAATACCATGCATTTAATAAAGATACGATTTTGTGGAAAGATACTATAAATGCTACAGAATAAATACGTAAATATAGGAGAAAATGCCAACACCAATTCTTCGTATAATCCAATGCATGTATTAAAAATATGGTTTTATTAAAAATATATATTAAAAGTATAATACAGACGTTTCGACCCCAGTATTGGGTCTTCCTCAGTGTCATAAAATATAATGAAGTTTTGTATTAATCCATGAAATATCAATTAATATAATTTGTATTATGACTTAGTCACAAAAGATTGACGTTTTCTTTGTCTTAATATATGTACATAATTTATATTTACGTATTTACCTCCAATCTATATTTATACTTAATTTATCATCATCGTTGCTCTCTATTCTTTCTTATTTTTCTTTGCGACTTGACTTTCTTCAATACAACGATCTCTCTCTGTATTTACATCTTATTGTAACCATAATTTTATTGCTTCTTAAGTTTATAATATTTTTGACTAACAATAAGTTTATTTGATTAATTTTGATAGTTTATTTTAAATAATTTATTAAATCTCTTATGAATTTTCTATTCTAGTGGGATTTTTCAAATAAATACTGTATATTCAATAAAATATAACAGACTTTGAATATTATAATTGAATAAACAAAAAGCAACAATAGATTAACAATGTTTTGACGATTGAGCATTTACTTATTATATTATATTAATTGATTTCATGGACTAATACCAAACTTCATTATACTTTATACACTGAGGAAGACCCAATACTGGAGTCGAAACGTCTATACCATATTTTTAATATATACATTGGATTACATACGAAGAATTGGTGTTGGTTCATATTGGCATTTCCTCCTATATCTACGTATTTATTCTGTAATTTATTTGGAGAGTCTTTTTTTTATTATTTTAATTACTATAAATGTTGTTTATATAAGGTGTTCCATTTTAAAGGAACTCACTGAAATATCTCGGAAAACTCTGCATTAAATCGTAAAATATTTTAGACAAAAGTCTTGATTTTAAGGGGGACATAAGATGGTATTGGATTGATCTTGTGTGGCGTTGTCAAGGTCAGAGTAAGATAATTTTGAATTTTTTAAATGGAACTTCTAATTTTTCATTACATATTCTTGTAGCTTACCTTTAAGTACTTTTCAAGTTATAAGGCTTGAAACTTACAGTACCGCTGTGGCGAAAAGTATTTAATGAAAAAATATATTTTATTATAATATTTTAAAAAGCTCTCGAGATAAGCTACAAGAATATGTAATGAAAGATCGGGAATCTCAAAATAAACGCATATCAAACTAATGATATCTTATGTACCCCTTGAAGTAAAAAAACTTTTGTCTGAAATATTTTTCGATTTAATGCAGTTTTTTCGAGATTTTCAATGGATCCTTTAAAATGAGACACCCTGTATTTATATATAATGCCCACACGACTTGAGTGACAGGATTTAAAAAGTATAACAAATAATTAAATTTTATTTACTTTCGACTTATTTTTATAAATTATCTCTTGTCCGGTTGTATTATACGTTTATCCCTATCCTGTAAGTTCTGTAAAGTTGATAATATTTGAGAAAAAAATTATTGAAGGCCAATTTTCAGCTATTTTTAGCAATTAATATCTTGTTAACTATTGCAAAATGGAGGAGACTTTTCTTCTCAGTTTAGTCCATTCTGCTCCTATGCGAAAGATTTGTCATTATTTTCCAAACACCCTGTATAATAATATCATAAAATATATATGTATATTATATAGCGTGATTCATTGTAGATTAAGAAGACAGACCCATTACCGAAACAGCTTTGTTCGACTTGCGTTGAGAAAGTGAACTGGTGTGACACATTTGACACGCAATGCATTAAAGCAGAGGAAATTCTGTCAACGATGTTGGAGGAGAAACAATCTTTTAATTTTTCCGATCAACTTTCTTCTAATCAACAATCCTGTCCTTTATGTATAAAGGGCTTTATGAATACGTGTGAGGAGACATTACAGAATACGAAGGATAAGGAATTATACGAGAATGATATAATTCTAGAAAGCAGTGATGAGGAAAATATTTTTAATAACGCAAAGGTCAGTAAAGAAAGCGGGAATCATTCTATCATATTGCAATGTCTAGGAACTAAACAGAAATATTTAAAATGCGGAGCATGCATGAATCTTTATCACACTAAGGAAACACTAGATGGTCATAAGTGTAAACCTAGTGTACAGAACACAACAAAACCGTACAAATGTCTCGTATGTGATAAGACATTTACTTTCGAGGAGCGATTGAACTTTCACATGCAATTTCACAAAGGCGCAAAAGCATTATACTGTGAGGTCTGCAAGATGACGTTCGGTAAAGAGCTGAAGTTGTTTTATCACTATAAGAGACAACATTCCAAGGAAATTAGTGTATCGTGTCTACAATGCGGAAAGTTGTTTGAGAATCAGGAGACACTCCGAGTTCATGTTTGCGTTGACGGTAAAAATCGCCCTCACATTTGTGAGGTATGCAATAAAGGCTTTTTTGACGGCTACACCCTGAAGCGTCACATAGTGACACATCTGCCCGAGAAGCCTTACAAGTGCTCGGAATGTTCGAAAAGCTTTACACAGAAATCAAGGTTGAACAAGCATGTCACGAGCCATTGTATAGTTATCGAAAACAACCAGACGGTCTGGAAATGCATTCAGTGCGGTGAAGCACTTATCTCTTGCGATGATGCAGATATTCACTATAAGATAATACATGAGGACAAGATCACACTGATTGAGGAGCTATCGATATCAAAGCTATATCATTGTGAGTTTTGTAACAGTCATTTCATCAATGCGGACAACTTGAAGGCTCATCAAAAACATCATGTTGTCGAAAGACCCTACACGTGTAATACGTGCATGGCTACTTATAAATCATTTGCTGAAGCTGTTTTGCATTGGAAGGAACATCCTAGACTGTTTAAAGTCCTCGTCGTTTTTTTATGTGATGTCTGCAACAAAGACATGAAAGAATTATCCTTACTATACAAGCACAAGCAAAATAGGCATAACCGTGAATCCAGATTATCCGAGTCGGGCGACGCAAAATTCATCTGCGAACTCTGTGGGAGTGTCTTCGACAAATATGAGGATATAAAGGATCACGGACGAGATCAATGTTCCAAGTTCCCCTGCGATATTTGTGGCAGCCTGCTGCCTACAGCAAACTCGTTGAACGCACACAAAAGGCGGCATAATGGATTGAGACCGTACGTCTGTAATATTTGCGGAAAGAGTTACACTCAGTCCAGTCATATGTGGACTCACAAGAGATTCCATATGGGTATCAAGCCATACGCTTGCGAATATTGCGATCAACGTTTTACCATAAAGCCAGACTTAGCGGATCATGTTAGGAAGAAGCATACGAGAGAGAGACCATTCAAATGCGATGTGTGCAATAAAGCTTTCCTGACTGGGTCCGTGTTTTACCAGCATAGATTGATACACCGTGGCGATCGTAGATACAAGTGCCATTACTGTGAAAAGGCTTTCACTAGAACGGAAGCTTTGAACAACCACATCAAGATACACACCGGGGAAAAGCCACACTTGTGCGACGTATGTGGCAGATGCTTCAGACAGAAAGGAGATATGAGAAAACACAGACGCACCAAGCATGCTTCTGAACAAGATAAATCTTGAGAATTGTACGTCAAATATGGAATCGTTATTTTTTCATTCTTACATTTTAATTATTTCTATGTGATAAGTAATTGATACGTACGTTGCGTTCGAAAATATTACTAAATACCTCGGAGTATCATTTTATTTTTGTTTAACATTCGATAAACAATAATAATAAAATGATACTCAAGTTTTTTTGAACGCGCGCCAATATATTTTAATTATTTGTTACGAAGTAGTTATATTACAGTAGCAGATACATATCGATTATTAAGCTACTTTTTTCAATAAATAGCAAAGTATTCCGAAGAATATGATATTAAGGAATTATCATAAGTAATAAAATAAATAAGACTACACAATATATGTATTATGTGTCTGCGTACATTATTATAATATACAATCAATACAATATAATAATTGTATATATAAGTATATAAATATTATATATAACATTTTATATATAATATTTATCATAGAAGTATACTCATTAATAATGTATTATATAATATATATCATAGAGATATACTCATTAATAATGTTATATAACAAATTTTACATAAAATACAAAACATGTTACTAAATAATAATTTGTATTGCCATACATTTAAACATGTCACTTATTTATACTACAATAATGACAAGTAACTAAAAAATGATCTTTTTTTTTTAATTACAAAAAAAGGATGGAAACAAAGAAAAAGAAAGGAAGAACATACTTTTATTTATTTACAATCAATTATATTAAAATTAATATTCTCCAAAATTTAAATTCAAAACATTCAAATTCATTTTCTGGAAAACTTTGTTCTTTGAATTGTGTCGTTGTAACAAATGAACGATATAATGTATTTTTAAAAATTTGCCGCTATAAATTATTCATTTATTTTACATTGTATTTTATTTTACATTCGACCATTGATGAAATTTTAAACAGCCGCGTGTGCGTTACGCACGACAGGTGCGCGAATGCGCGTCATTTACATTGCGCACGCGCCCGCGCGTCTTGGAACAGGTGATGTTACATACCTGACGAAGTGCGATGTCTCATGACCGTCATCGTGCATTCGATCACGCACGGACGACCTGCTTCACTGGACGATTCGATTCCTGGCTGTGATAATTACTGAGGCCCGTTGCGCCCATACACGCGGGACATACATCGCAATGATCACCAAAATGACAGTACCGAGATAGAATCGTGCCGACAGGCATCCCAAGATCCACGGAACGGATTATATTGGTACGTGGTGATAGTCCGAGGACGACAACGAGAGTAAAGACGATCGTCGTCGTTATCGCGTAAGAATCTCACCTTGGAAGTCTGTTTTCTGTTCGGCCACGGGAAAACCTTTTGCGAGTCCGTGTCCGAGAATACAACTTAACCTTTATTGCGTTTGACATATGTAACTGTAACGAGTACACGAATGAAGAGGAAGAGACGACGTAATTGTAAACAAAGCCCGTGTTAAGGTAACGGTCGAATGATTTCGCGATTTGTTTTTACATCCGTTTGTGCATTATTGTAACGTAGTGAGAGATCTTTTTATTTTACATCTTTCACTAATTTCGTTTGTAAAACGTATTGTTGATATTTTCTAAAATAGGGAGAACCATGGCTTTCCCACCTTTAGTCAGCTCTACGCCACCGCCCTTAGACAACTTTGGAGAGTCTGATGAAGACGAATTCGGAGATTTTACAGCTGGTGGAATAGATGGTACTTATATAGATTAACAGCTATCTAATAAAATATCAAACCGTATTACATATTAATAGTTTCTAAACTCTAATAATACTGTAATATAATAAAAAACTGGAACATGTACTATTATGATACATTTATAAGTAAAGAGTATAGAATGGACATGAGATGATATAAAAGGATCACCTATTTTTTTTCCAATCATCCTGTGATTTATTAATTCTTAAGATGAATTCTCACAATCAGTGCATGTTCCAGTATTATTAAAGTTTAGTAATTAACGCTTTGAGTATATTAGAGGAGATGCTACCCAAGCATGCATCTGCCACATACGTCGCATAACATGTCATAAAAGGCATCATAAAGATATAAAGATATTTTTTAAGACATATATAAGACATATATATATATATATATATGTTATCTAAAGACAACATAAAGAAGTCTTCTAGACAATGCTTATTTATATTGCATATCAGTGTTATTTGTGTCATTTTATCTCTCTCTTCTTTATCATTCATAGATATAAAACAAAGATGGAAGTGACACAAATAGCATTCGTAGCATTTCTTTAAACACATCGTTTATATCACTTTCTAATTTGTATAAATGTTATTATAGGTCTATCTGTTTCATCAGAGTCCCCTCAGAAACTCATCACTCCGATACAAACACCAGTAGCATCACAGAATGTATCTCCTCGATTAAACGGTCACCAGATTAACGAGTCACCAGTATTGGATAATTGTCCTAAGATAAACGAAACAAAATGTGGTGTCATAAATGATCTGTTGATCGTCGAGAAGGCAGGCAACAATGTGAGCCACATAAGATTGAAGGATAGAACAGATGATAGTAACGTATTGGAAAATAATTTTGAAGACGCTAGTGTAACAGAATACAATGTATTAGATTCACCCAGGAATGGCGAGTCGCGTAATGTTGAGATTAGTAATAGTGTTGATCATGTTTGTACTCAGAATGTTTTAGTTAAGAAAAATTTTGTTGATACAGATGTAATTAGTAGCAACAATAGTAGTTTAGCTGATAGCGTAAAGACAGTTAGTGAGCAGGAAGGATCGTCAAATGATTTGGAGGCGAATGACGAGGTTGAACCTGTGAGTTTAGACTTGGAAGATCCTACGAGTACGCCGGACATATTACAACAACTGGACGACGATTTTTACAATTATGAACAGTTTAAAGATTCCAACGAATGGAACGACACTGTTAGCGATAAAAAGGTGGATGTAACGGTTCTGCAAACGGATTATTTGAATGATAAGCCTAATTCCATGGACACAGAATGCAATGTAACGGATGAAGTTGGAGAAAATTACACATACGAGAATGAAACTTGTGTCATTGATACTAATGATAAATCTGTCTTCATCAATGATGAAAGGACAATTTCTAATTTTGTTATCTCTCAAGAACATAATGTAGGCGGTACTGACATTTTTAGACAACCGGACTGTGAATTCAGTATTCAGCCGAAATACATAAAGATGTACGATGTAATATCTAACACTGAGACGAGTAATGAGAAGTCGAATAAAACTATAGATGATTCTTTTAATTTCGATTTCACTTTCGACGACGATGCTGTGAGAGAGGAATCAAATTTAGATCATACATCCGTACATGCGCATACTGAAGACATTCACCTTCGAAATTCTAGTAAAAAAAGCGACGCGAGTACTTTTCCTAATAATTTCTGCGATATAGCTGATGTAAAAAATACTATACAATCAAAAGAAAACGAATATGTAGCCGTAGAAACGAAAAATCAAACTGTTCAAAAAGTAGCTGTGAATGGGATAAGTGAGGAAATTTCTGCTAAGAAAAAAGAGTCGAATAATGAAGAGATACACAAAGATTACATTCCGGAAAACGGTTTTGATGCACACGATCCAGATAATTCTGATTTTACAGAATTTATGGAGCATAGAGATTTTAATGGTGTATCGGAGTTGACAAATAACTACAATTTAATATCCAATAATAGTACATACGAGATAGTACAAATTCACGGTTTACATACATCTTCATCTGAAGCGTCTTGTATACAAAAATTTTCACCAATTAAAGGAGCTTCACTGCCATCTATTAATACATCTCTCGACTGCTTAAAGGATAAAATTAATATTACGAATAATACGGGCGAAGAATGTGCCACATTTAAAAGCGAAAATTCTGTAGTATATTTTAGTAATGGTGAATTTTATGATTTTCCTTTACGAACAACAGAGCCGGTAGCAACCAGAGCACAAGAAGATAATTGTCCCGGATTCGAAAGTGCGGATAATGAAGATGATGATTTTGGTGATTTTACTAATTTTTCGAGCACAACGGTAGAATGGAAATCTGACGATGCTAAAGAACTGAAGGTACCTGAGGACGATGATGATTTCGGAGACTTTAGTAATTTTGAAACATCAACGGATGTAGTAGAAACACAACAGTTTAGTTTAAAAGAATCTATATGTCGGATAGAAAACAAGAATGTGAGTTTAGGAATGTTTGTGTAATACATGATTGCTAGTAGTTTATTAGAGTAAAAAAATGAGAGTATCGCTTTAACTTAGATTTTTAGATACATTACATTATGATATATATGAAGTAATATATAATTTTATATATTTTAACATTAATTTAATTAAAACAATTTCAGGCTGCGAATAAAATAGAAGATATAATAACAAATATGTTTTCTGTGCTTTCTGAACATCACGAAGTTGAGTTAAAAGCCTTAATAGATAAAGCAGATAAAGTTTGGCAGAATGTGAAGAGCGTGGAAGAAACCAATGCTCTCACTTACCAATGGGCGAATAGTAGTAGTAACAATGTTCTTTTGAATTCTCTTGGCATCGATTCTCGGAATATTGTAAGTATACACAACTTAAATTAAAATATTTTTATATATTTATGAGAAAAAATAACGATTTTTATTGTTGTATTTTATATGTAAAATTAAAGCTATTTGGACCAAGATGGAATCCGAATATACCAAGATTTGCTGCAAATCTTGGTTTTACTCCGTTAGAGCCAATTAAAGCTACTGCTGAGTCTCAGCAACCTTCTGCAGCCAATACCAGCAAGATACAGGGTGCAATTTGTTCAGATGTAAGTTGTTTTAATTTCTATAGTATGTGTAAGTAATTTACGTATTAATTAATAATTGTAACGTCGTATTAGGAAGTACCTGCCGCCCAATTTGATTGGAATAGTTCTGGCCTTGTAAATCCTCTAGATGCTAGTAAGTATTTATTGCATGTTTAGTGATTAAAATATTATACTTAGGAGAGAAACATAGCTAAATGTCTCGTATTTTGCTAATTTATATTCTCATATATAACGAGATAAAGAAAGAGAATATTTTCTGAATAAATATTCTATATGTAAAAATAGTTTGATGTGTTGTCTCTTACATATAGATCGTATAGATCAAGGCTGTGTTTGCTTTGGCGCTTATAGTAAGCATAATTATCCTTGTTTAATATTTCACAGCAAGGAAACAATACTTTAAGTGGTGTGAGTGCCAAAGCGAAAGCGGTCTAAGTGTGTTGAATTTTGTCCTAAATGTCGCGAAAAATAACAATACAGGTGGTGGGTTATCCGCTCTTCTGCCTCTGGATTTATTGTGTCCGTTTGATCCTCTACTAACACCCCATTGCTCCACACATTCCGAATCCTATCATCAGTCATCTTGCTCAACGAACTCCGTTTATTACTGTAAGTGCTCAAGCTGTAATGTCTTTGTTTTTGCATACATGTATATGTATAAATGTATATTCATAAATTTTGTTTCAAATAGGATATCTTTTCTAAATGTATATATTAAAAATTAAATAGACTGCCACTTAATTTTGTTTTGCTTGGTTTTAAACATTCATAGTATTTTCAAAATTATTGTATTGATAATTCAACTAATTGTTAATTTTTATTATTAATACAGATTCATCAGAAGCAGTTGTACAAGAACCAAGCCAATCCATAAAATCGCAAAATTTATCCGATCTCACTTACAGTTCATTAAAACAGCAAAAATCATCCCAGATGTCCAAGATAATAGAACCATTACCAGGACCCTGTACAGTGGAATGGAAGAAAAAAACCGAACAAGACATTGGAATTAAGCAGAAAAGCAACTCTTCACATCGAGTATTGAGAAATGTCCATCTAACCAACAATAAGTCATTTCCAATAAGCAATAATACTTCCAGGGTACATGAATATCACAGAAAGATATCAGTAGGTAAGAAAGAGAATACGCAAGGTACGGAGCACGTAGTCGTGGATCGATACGGGAGACCGATGACCGTGCAAGCCGAGACTATAAAAGTTCTGAATCAGTTACCGGACCTGTCGTTCTTGAATGCGAGAACTTTATTGTTCAATCGCGAACAGAGACAGATCGTGCCGGATCTGGGCGCTATGATAAATCGGAAGATGCCCGGCTGAGTAACATCGGTCTGAATGCGAGTTTGAAAGGGCAAACGCGAGAGGAAACTTCCCAGAGAACCTATTGCCAGCTGGATGTTTCTAAGTGACCCATACAATCAAAACGTACTTCTGCTACCTTTCAAACCTGTGTTCAGACCAACCTTTAATCCAACCTTGACTCTTCCACGTCAGGAAAGGATAATGAGATGCCACGTATGAAAGACACTGTCCTATATTAATCTATTTGCTTGCGGCACCGAATAATGCACTTCGACATTCCGAATCATCATTGTTTTGTGATTTTATAGCGCTATTGGTATTGTTACTGAATCCTTCAAAGTCTTTACTTTGTTACGCAATTACGATTTAATGTTGTACTGATCATTTAAGAAATGATGACATGTAAGTTTGTTTCGTTAACTCAACAGTTGTGTAATCTTTATTAAAGACGACAATTTTTCGTTACTTACATAGATATAAGAACTCACACACACATTCGGCCATATTCTAGTCTACAGTTCTTAATGATAAGTTTTCTGTATTATATGTTAGGAGAGATTTGTTCGATATGTTTATTTCCGATGATAATTGCAGGCAATTAAATAGCGCCAGAGTATTATACTCGTTTGTATTGTATTTCAAAAATTTATCTACTAATATTCTGGAATTACTTTTAGAAGAACCAATCTGAATATTTATCTTGGATTCATTTCTATTAATGTAGACTAACTTTAATTTCAGTTCAATTGACTCTTCATCTTTTTCTACTTCTTAGGATTAGAAAAAGATGAAAAGTAAGTTAAACTGAGATCAATTAATCTTCATTAGTGAGAATGGACATTATACATTCAAGAAACTGCGCGCGTACTTTGTACGACATTGATATGTTACAATTTCAAGCAATCGTAAATATTTCCAGTCATATAGAAAGAGAACACATACTTTATCTACCCAAAATAAAAACTATATACTAATTGTAAGTCAATTATCGTAGATTGACGAGATTGATATCTGTAATGAAATCGTCGAGTGATACATTTATCAAATTCGCTTGATGCTTTTATTGCACATTTTGAATTTCTACTATGAAACGTGATGTACTTAATTATGTAAATTTCGGCATTTGCATATTGATTATTAGAACGAAACGATAAATATTATTACCATTATTCGTTATTTATTAATAATAATATTGTAATATATATTTTATGTAAAATATTGTGGATAACATTAACACATAGGCAATCTTTAATGATCGAATCGTTGTTACTTTTCTTAATCACTCTATGAAAGCGTACGATTTTTTTTAATTCTCGATTTTTTCCCGATCCTTGAATGCAATCTTTTATAATAGTCAGAACAATTTAGATGCAAAGCAATTCATTAGCTCACAATTACTTTAATTATATTAAATATAGAAGAATTCTATAAAATATGAATTAAATAACAGTTCTGCATAATTTTTCTAATAAAAATACTTTTATTAAGCATATTCATTTTATATTTCATAATGTTTTATAAAATACTGTCATCAAAATATATATATTAGTTACAATTAAACTATCTAATAATAATAGTTGCTCTTGCACATTAAAAATGAAATTGCATTTTACTTTAATATATTATCAATTATCAATTTTTCGCACACACATAATAGATTTTTTCTAATATAAAATAATTTTTATTAAAACGTTGGAGTTTAGACTAGAACATTTCATTTCGGCACATAATACAAATCGGATACGTGCTATAATAATTTCATATAGAAATTTTTTTTTAAACAATTAAATAAATAATTTTGTTAAATACGTTAAATAATTTTATCTCTTAAATATAAGGAAAAGAATGCAATATATTATTTTTGTTATTAGGAAAACATATCCTCCTCAGAGCTGTTACGTTCTTCTTCTGAGTTGTTAAGAACTCGTTTGGATTTCACTGTATCATACATGTTTGTATTTTGTAACATTAACTTGACTTTACTTGTTGAAGGCTCAGGGCTTGTATCTTCACTAGAAGAAAAATTCATGTGTCTCTTAAAATTTTGTTTACTACTCTTTGGTATAACTTCCTGATCATTTTTATAATCCATCTTTTGTTTCTTTAACTTAGATGGTTTAGTATCATGCATTTTCTTACTCTTTATATCTGATCCATCACTTTCATCATCAGTGGTTTCGTTATATGCTGATTTCGTTGTTGTCTTTTTTGTATTATTTAAAGCCTCCTGAAGCTCTCTAATCTTTTTCTTCTTTGTATTCAGAAGTAAAAGAAATTTCATGTTAAGATCTTTCTCCATAGTGTTCTTTTTGTTTATTATTTCTTCTAAATCCACGACCAGTTCTGTATTGCTTTTCTTAAGGTATTCATTCTCTTTTTCCAGTGTCAGTGCTCGCTCTTGGTATTGTTGATAGAGTTCTAATGATTGTTTTAACGTGTCGGACAGAATTAATATATTTGAAAGAGAATGCATTGCAATTTCTCCACGAGTGAGAATATTTTGTTGTTTCCATGTGAATGTCATTCCATCTGATTCATCCTGCAGAAAGAACTGTATATCAATGTCTTTTCCAGAGAATGCTTGTTTTGTTTTCTCCAGATATGTTTCAAAGGATTCGTCCAAGTGATTTAAGAAGTAATTGGCACTCTCTATATGCATCTAAAATATAAGATAATAAGATAATTTTTAATAGATGATAATCATTGACTGTTGGCAATGAAATTATAATTTCTTGATAAACCTGATAAAATTGTTCAGATTTTTCAAATTTTGTCTAACACTTTGGCTATGTTTTTTAACAAGGACACAGTGTAACACAATGAATCATTACATTCTTGTTGTATATGCCAACTTTAAACAAGGATAAAATAATTCAACATGTAATATTGTCTGGAAACCTTTGCTGGAAAAGATCCTGATTACGATCAACAGAATGTTGCAATGTTGCTTTGAAATTTGGTTGCTATAAACGCTTTGTATTCTTTGATTGGTCAATTAATTTTTTTTTATTAATCAATCAAATGCTTCAAAGTATTTGTAGTGAAACTTTGACTGCATCCATAAATATACAATAAAATAAGTAAATAGTTAATTAAATTACCTCACCACTTAATGGTAGTGTACATGGCCTCAACACTATTATTTTGAAAGATGTATCCTCCCATTCTGTGTATAATGTAAAATTGCTCTTGTCCACTTGATTCACAAGTTTACTTACACTCACGTTAATCATGATGTTTCTTTTCGGTAATCCAGAAAAAGTGTGAGGCAATTAACGAGAAAAGTCATCAAAAATATCTGATGTGCAGTCATCTGATGATGAAGATTTTGTTAACTTGATTAAGAACTCTTGTTAGAAGAAAATACATTTTGACATTGTATAAAAAAAGAATTTCAATCGGATCCGACAATTAAGTTTGTACTTTAATAATTCATAAATGCGATTCAAAATTGATAATGTGTGTATTATAGGTTAGTGACATGATGCGATAAAAATAATAGTAATACGCATGCGCCAACCCGGTAAAAAATTTTTCATGCATGAATATCAATATAAATATGTATAACATACATAACACGCATAAATATTCATAAACATGTATAATTATGCATATGTCCATACATGTTCTTTTTTTTACTTTTTTCCAAACTTGTTTTTTTTTTTCTAAAACAAACAATGCGAAAATTATCCTCTTAATTATTTTTTATGTTTTCACATTACTATTATTATTTCTATTACACTAAAAAGTAATTTTACAAAAGAAAAAAGGATGTATGGACATATTTCATACATAATTATACATGTTTATGAATATTTATGCGTATTTATGTATGTTTAAATATATTTATATATATTTATGCATGAAAAATTTTTTACCGGGCTTCGCGGTGTAGCAATTTTTTTAATTAAAAAAACTTTAATTAAAAAAATATGTATTTAAAAAATAAAAAATTGTTGAGGTTATCACCTAATTAGGTTGTAAAACAGACATAGAAAATTAAAATTAAAATTAACAAAATATAGATAATAAAAAATAATAAAATAAGACAATAGAACATTTTTCATAAATTTCTTCATGAATTTTGTTTTTTGTAAAACATAATATTATATTACATATGTTGATTATATGTATTATGCGTGTAATTGGAGTTTTATATCATTTATTGTCATATCAGGCGTGACTACCAATCATGAAACTTTTTTCCTAGGATGAAAAGTGAAAAGTAAAAAATTTCTCCATTAATTTTAATGATACCCAGGCATATTCCGCGTATATTGAAACAAAATCCGCCAAAAAATGGCCAAGCTTTGGATTGGCTACAGCAATTAAATATGTGCAAGAATTGTGTAGGTACTTGCATGTTTCCCATGATTCCCCCCGAATAAAATAAAAAATCTCGTAGTATTGTATATACAATATATAATAAAGTGTAATTAGTTTAATGTAGTACAATGTAATAGTATTAAGTAGCATTTGATATACATTCTTGTGTGACACTCGACGGATTTTCAAAACGTAAGAGATTTCTAACTTTGCCATTTTCTGTGCTAAAATTTAAGGACTAATTTTGAATAAGACTAAATATATTTTACAGGATAAACTATGGAGAAATCTGCACTCAAAATCATTTTTAAAGTATTAGCTATAATATTACATAAATAAAAAATACGCATTTAAGATTCACAACCCATGATAGCACAGATCTCCAAGGAATGTTCTGAAGGATGTCTTGAGAACATCTTAACGTCCTGAAAACGTACTTAGGAAGATCTTTGAGATAAAATGTGCTGTATGGGAACTGACATGTTTGACTACAAATATATGCAATCGACAATTAACATAATTGGCTGCGTTCCGTTTCATGCATAATGCGCATGACATCATTTATTCTTGTTATTCACCGAATGTTAAGGATGGTCTCCGAAAAAATTCCATTTTCTTTAGATTTTTCTGAAACTTACAGTAAAAGCTTGTTTTAGTGTCTTGAACATGTGCTTTCCCTAATAATACACTTTATTCAAGGGACGTTCTGGCAAACGTTCTTAGGACATAGGGATATCCTCTGAATGTTTTTTGGATCTGTGTTATTGGGGTTAAAACTCAATACCCAGAGCGGGATTAAAAATCGAAATATTCCACTTCAATTAAAGTTGAAGTGTTTAACATAGGATCTTCTTATTCTGTCTTACATTGTAATAAAGTTTTTCTTAACAATTTTTTGAAACAATGAGACATAAAACTTTAATATCACAAGGAATAACATGAAATTTGTCTGAATGTAGCTTCCGGTATTCATTTTTAAGAAATAATCTTTGAACAAAATAGTACAAAAAAAGTAGCTGCACTATTAATAATTTGAATAAAGAATTTTATTTCATATGATATTTGTATTTATTAGAACACTAACTATATTGTATAAAAAACTTGTATAAAAACATTAACACTTATTATGAAATATCTTATACTATATAAAAGTGAAATACATTATTTTCATAATGGTGAGCACTAATGTGCTCATTGGGTTGAGTACAACTGCAGTCGAAGAACGTCCTTAAACAAGGATGACGCATTAGTCACATCATGCGTGAAACGATAGTCACCCATTATATAATTTTTGCGCCGAGAAGCATCAAGAATACTTATAGAAAATCCATAACATTACTCATCTGGACCTAAGTTTTAGGTTCTATCATATGTAACAGCTTTTATTTTACCAGGTATAAATAAAAGGCAACAGAACGTTAAGGTTAAGTGTGAATGTTAAAATTTTGAACGTAAATTTCTAACCATTTTCTATAAATAACAATTTTTGTATTTACTTAATACTGAGAATCGTGACCACAACAGAAACTTTTTATAAAAAATTTTATGATAAATCTTATCTTTCATATTAATTGTGATTGTATGATTTATAGGTTACATTTTGTGGAGATTCTGAAATTCTCAAGTTAAAAGTCAGAATCGCAAAGGATACACTTAAGGATTAGTTTTTATTTATAATTTATACACTTGTCCAATATATCCAGAATATAGTGGAAACATGATACGTGTACCATTGCATAAAGCACTAGAATCATTGGCTTGGCTAGAAGGAACGTGGCGAACCGAGAATCAAGGCAGCGGCAAATACCCAACAATTAAGGATTTTAGCTATTATGATGAGATAAGTTTCATGTCCTTAGGGCAACCTATGTTCAATTATACTGCGCAAAGCTTTTCCAATTCTGATTTAAAGAAGCCAATGCATCGGGAAACAGGTTTTCTGAAAGTAAATCCTGGAACTAATCAAGTAACTCTTATCTCAGCACATAATTTTGGTTTAACTACCATTGAATGTGGCGAAATAACTGACAAAACCATCAACTTAAATAGTACTGATATAACTAGGATAAAAGAGGCAAAGATACCCCATGTAACACAGGTATATTTAACAGTAAATTTGGTCATATTATACTAGATTAGTGCATGCTAATGTATATAAAATTAGCAAAGTTAAATGTAAAAGGATATAAATATTATTTGATTTAATATTTAAAATATCATCACGTTATTGAACAAATATATATTGTTGCCAAAATTATGTTATATCACTACTACATTTAGATACTTTGTATAAAGTAGCCTTTAATGTGCACTAATCCAGTGTAATATAAGTGATCAAATTTATCATAAATTTTAATAACTTAACATTTGCAACTGATATTTATGTAAGTAATAGCATAATTAAAATATATTTCTAATTTTATGGCAGGTACGCAGGGAATTTAAACTTCACGATAATTGTTTGGAATATATATTTTACATGGCAACATCGAATACTCCAGTGTTGACTGAACACTTACAAGCAAAGTATACGAAAGTGAGCGAAGAAAAATAAAAGGATGTAAGATAGGGTGACCAGACATTTGGTTCCAGATGACTTTTTTTTAAGACCTGCTGGATTTTCAGTATGTCCAGGGTGTACTCTTTTTAGTACTTATTTTATGAGAAAGAGCGAGAGGACCGGAAGCTATTGCACATGAAATACATAATAGTAAGCTAAATTATTATTATTAAGGATGCACCGGATCGTAAAATTACCGGATATCGGATATCCGGTGCATTTCTAATTATTATGTATATGTGATAAAATATTTAAAAATTATTAAGTATTATTATGTAAAACATTTTTTGGCTAATACTAAATACGCGTTTTTATCGTTCTTAGGATTTTTAAATGTACACCCTTCTTCCATTTTTGAGTTTAAATATACTATTTACTTTATATTACCATGTAACTTTTTTTGTTTTACTTTTGATTCTTAATGTCCTAATTTTGTACTATTTTCTAATTTGGAATAGTCCTACTTTACTTAAGTTAGATCTGGTCACCCTACCAGAAGAGCCAATAAAGTTTTAATTTTATTATATATTTTTAATTACTGTACTTTTTTTAAGCGTAAATAAAATTTTAGAGCGATAAAAATGCGCATAAATCTATTGTTCATTATTTAATCATCTACTACGATTTAAGAATCTGTGTACACGTGCATGACAGATTTACTGTTAGTAATTACAGATTTCACGAACTTACCATAATAAAGTATTCACTTTTTTGTTATGTAACAGCAAGATCTGTTTTTCATGAAATTATGTTTTCTGCACTTCGGATATATATATCTAATTAAAGAGAGAGAAAGAGCAAAGATAAAACTATATAGATGCTGAAAAGAATAGATCTGTAATAATACATGGAGCGTATATTTTTCCGATTGACAATCGCGATTTCCATTTATGAGATAAGTATCAAGTAAATGTTCGTGATGTTACAGAACGTTACGTGCTTGCGTATAGTTTCATGTAATAAATGAGATTACGGGATGATGCGAAGGTATAAGCGGGGAGCAGACTCTTGCATTACGCATAACATAGAAGACTTAAGAAATTCAACCAATCAGAGTTCTTTATTTCATAAAAAGGAAACTAAGGATTTTGATTGGTATATTTTCGTATACATTATGTTGCGCGTTATGCAAGAGTCTGTGCTCCCCGCTATAAAATATTGGAAATCTCACGTTGTTATCTCAGTATGAAGTATACATTTTACTGTTGAAGACGCGTAGATATGAAAAGTCAATCAGAAGCCTTATTAGACTAGATTGCTAACTATAACTGCCACAAAGATGGAGATGAAGATCTTGCAACTGCATGAGCTAATGCACGTACTGGCCTGGTTGGAGGGCACGTGGATAACGGATGAGCCCGCAGTGGGCACGTATCCGACCATCAAGCCCTTCAATTACTACGATGAGATAAACATTACGTCCACAGGTCAGCCGATATTCAATTATATCGCACAGAGCTGGCATCCGGATTCAGGGACACCGATGCATCGAGAGACCGGCTTTCTGCAGATCTTACCAGGAATTAACAAGATCGTACTTAGTCTAATTGGTAACATAGGAGTGTTTACAGTCGAAGAGGGTGATCTGATGAGCAAAGATAACAATACCATCGACTTAAACAGCAACAATATACTAGCGACAGATGCATCGATACCATCTTTCTCGCCTTTAACAAAGGTACAATTAAGTTTTCGGATATATATTGGATGTCTTGTAACTGTAGATATGATCGTGAATGGGTAAAGATTCTGTATAAATAAGTAAAAATTTAACAAAGAGAAAAAAGAAAATTGTCTAATCTTTAAAGTTAATTTTTCTAAACACAAAAAGCGTTATGAAGACTTGTCTTCAACTTTCCATTGAAATTGTCCACATCGCAATTGGTATGGTTTCTTCTGTTTTTTTTTTTAATCAAAGATGAAGAAATCATTATGTTGATTATAGCACGATCGGCTTCAGTGGGGACAAGTCTTCAGAAGATCTCTTGTTCGATCATGATTTAAGAATATGATGTCATCTGATGTATCATAATGTCTTATATGATTATGATAACTTTTTTATTTTTATTCTATATTTTTTACTTATTTTTAAATATGGATTTATTAATTGAATATTCTTCAATTACAAGACATTTTTCTTTTGTATGTTACACTTGAGCACTTTTGCGTAATATATTTTTTAAATATTTGTTCTCGCAAATATCGAATATTAATTATGTAATTAAAAAATGTTGATTTTAATTAACATTCTTTTGTTTCCACGATAGACACGTCGAGTGTACAAACGCAACGGCGACAACTTAGAGCTTATTTTCTACATGGCGACATCGAAAACACCTGAGTTGACGGAACATTTGAATGCAAAATATAGAAAGGTGGCATAAAGATAAAGAGGTGGTGAAAGATATGTGTGTGTTAGAAGACACAAAAGTGAAAAAAATCTTTCAGTTTCTATGAATTATCATTCTTTATTCGTTTTATATTTATATAAAAACAATATATATATTCTTGAAAACATAAATGTATTCTTTGATACAGTTAATAAACAGCATGTATTCATAATTTATTAATGCAGCATAGTGTTGGTTTGTACACAATTATACACCCTCTCTTATTTCGCTTTTATCAAGGTGAATCAACTAACTGGAAGTCGGGGCACACGATATCTAGGAGAAAATTTGCAACTGGCACGCGACGTGACCGCATAGAGTACTGCGCCACAGATTGCATCCTTAAGCGTATCCTTTCACGCCCGATCGATGGAATTTAGTTATATTTCGTCGCTAACTACTGCAATGTGACTTTTATCGATTGTAACTTGCGATTGACGTTGGAGTTACGTCGAAGTACCACAAATTTTAACTTAATCCTTACTGTTTTAATTGCGTCATTATTTTTCGTAAAATAGAATTTGAGATAAGGAATCGAAAAATGAAAATTTTAGTGTCTAATGTTCTAGTATTCTTTTTATAATATTTAGAAAGTTTTTATATTATTTAGTATACGTGATAATGTTGCGATAATAATCATCGATAAATTTCTAACTTTAGGATCGTGTTGGAGAACAGCGTTAAGAACAGCGGATACGAAAAAGATATATTAATGATTAAACTTCTTATTTCTTTTCTCATAATTATCAAATTTATAATCATTTTATTTTTTGAATTATATATATGAAAATTCGAATTTGATTTTAACAATAATGTTAACAACAAAAAATCGCGACTGATACAGTTCTGAAATGATAAATGCGGGTACCAGTTACACACGTGGCGAGAACGTGGACCCACGCGTTTCGTAACATTGTGAAATTCAAGTTAAAGCTGCTGCTTAGTCGAATTCGCTCGGCATAAAGGGAGTAGGGAACGTAACACCTGCGTGTTTACCCGCTGAAACAGCCCCGACCTGCCACGGTAGACTCGACGATTCGACCGCGACAGTTGCTCGCCGCGTCGGCATGACGAAGGATCGTTTCTTCGTCCTGAAAGCCTTGAGGATATCGGACTCAAATACCGAATACCTCGCGCACACCAAGTATTCATTCCATTGTTGTTGCATCTGTACCGCCGTTGTGAACAATTCTGGGCGATTCGAGTGTCGTTTCGACACTCGAATTCTCACCCTAATAACTTAATCTTCGTTTGATCATTTTTGAATTTAAAAGTATGTCTCACATTTAATCATCATGTTGAATTTTTAATTCTATTCCTTTTTAACTGATTCCTATCTTATACTTTTCCTTTAAAAATATTTAATTCTTTTTAAATAACGTTCGCTTTTATGATTTAAATATTCTATGTTCTCCAATTATTTCCCGCTAAACACGAAGTAGTAGTAATATTACATCAATATTATTGTATAATTTCTCATTTAACAATAGAAATGTAATGCAATACATGCTATACGAAATAAATTACATTGTTAAATAAGAAAAATTATCAGTATAATTATATATTGAAATAATATTACTGTCACTTTATATTTAATGAGTTTTACTCATTTTTAATATTTGTTTATGAAATCTCTCTTTTTAAAAACTTCTATTTCTTAATTCATTCTTTCATATTTCTTCATTTGCATCAAAACTTTAGTCTGGTATTCCTTCTACTCTTTTTTTATTTTAACAAAGTTCGTATTTCTTCTGGAGAAATTAACATAATTTTAAATTCAGAAAGAAACTAGAAAACTGTGGAAAGTCGATGAGTAAAAATGCGTTCGTTTCGAGCATTTGCATTATTGTCTTCACATCTGTTTCAGAGATGCTAAAAAATTCCTCGAATCACGATTATCGACGCCGCAAGATACTCTCGTCTTTCGAATCGCACAGTACATAAACTTGAACTTCCGTCGCGTGGAACGACGATTATTTGAATCGATTGTATGTCGATCGCCTCGATGTGCGACGATCGTCCTTCAACTTTTTGGTCTCTGAATGGCGCGCAGCATGGCACCGCTTTACGATGGTCACGATTATTACAAGAGAATGTTTGAGCTTCAGGAGAAGCTGCGGAAGAGGCAAGTATACCACATCTTCCAGGATAAATCTTGTGAATGTGGGAATACAATTGTTGATAATATTGCAAAATTTCCAGTGAGGAGGAGAGAATACGACTGGAAGAGCGATTCACCATGCTCATGCGAGAGTCCCGTAACAGGTGAGTGAGTTTCGAATCCGTTTAGAGAATTCCTGCAATGTCGCTTGATTGACTTGAATTTGCCAATTGATTGACTTGAATTTGAAATAGAGAGTGCAGATCAATGTGTCACTATCCTCATAAAAGAGTCTCAATAATATTATAATAAAGTCATGGTGAATGTCCGCTTTGTCACAGATGTGATATCACTATGATATTATGAAATTGATAAAAATTGCACTTCATTGCTATGACACACATAGATTAAGATAATAAAATGTTATATCATTGCGACTTTTTGATAATCTTACAATGACATTATTATCTATTTATGACTATTGTGAATCTATTGTGATGTAAATATTGATATTTTTTGTATATATTATGATTATAGTAGATATCTAATTACACCATGATTATAATGAAGTTATTGTAGTGAATTATAGTAAAGTTTGCTATATATCTAGAAAATTAATAATAAGTAATTGCAAATCTTGTGGTCTATTTATTAGGTATTATTTATATGTATATACAATATATACTATTCTATAATTTAATGCAATATATTATCATTAATGTATTATCAGCGAGTAAAAAAGTTTTTAATTCAATTTTTATTTTTAAAAGATATAATAACATATTGCAGAGTTATTTTTAAATATTTTGGCAGTACAAAAATTTACAATCAATAAATGTATTTCATCTGGAAGCTACACAGCTAGAAATGGTGGGTCAAATCAACAAGATCATCGATCAATGTTGATTCGAATAATTATTTCTGGCAGGATATTTTTTGAACAAATTTCTCAATTTGAAAATATGAAATTTTGAATGAATTGTTCTAGCACGTCGCTTAGCACATTAATGTAGAGAAATTACCTGAAATACTCGATATCGATTCAGTGGCAGTCCGGTTCTACGGAATGTCACGATCAATAACAGCCGCGAGCTCAATCCCATTCCCGTCGATATATCTTCACGCTCGGGACGACGTGAATTCTGCTCTCTCGTTGTTTACGCGTCCTGATTCGTGTCTGGCCGAGACATCCGAGCGTTTCATCGATCGTGAACGTAGGATAAAAATGTTCACGATATCATGCCTCACGATAATGCGCGCCTCCATTTTCAAAGGAGTTGCGTTAGCTGTATATTGTCGTGGAGACTTCAGCGACTTTGTGCCACCGAAGTGACCTGCTCGTGAGGGAGTCTAACTTCTTAATCGATCGCTTAACCATTTGAGTGAACTATTTCTATGTCATTAAAAAAAAAAGAGATGAATATGTGCGAGATATTTAACGTAATAGGCCTTCCATAATAAATCATTATCTAAGCTTTAAGTCTTAAGTCGTAAGAAATTAATCAATTACAGTCAAATGTGAAAAGTCGAATCGATTATAATTAATCAATTTCTTACGACTTAAGACTTAAAGCTTAGATAATGGCTTATTGTAAAAAAAAGCTATAAAACATGATGCTAATTTGCTAATTTTTTTTATTGCAATTTACGTAATTCCGTATCTGTAGAATTAATAATGTTATGAATCTATATAATAGATGAAAAAAAATGCTAGAAAATGACAGGGTATTGTTGAAATTTAAATTTGCCATTCGATGAATGATTTTTTAATTACAGACATGATGTCTGTATAAATCGATTACGCATGAGATATATACAGTATCTGGAGGAACAACGCACGAGGGATGAAAGAAATCACAAGCTTCTAGCCGCATTAGACAGAGTTATGAACAAGCTTGCGCTGATAAGCGCGAAAAAAGACAGACTCAATATTCTCAGAGTGAGTTATCATTTTAATCATTGTTATATCGTTTGTTATATTTTTATAGAAAAATTACTTCACGTTACTTATTTTTTTTGTTATAACAGTATTATTATTCATTATATTAAAATAAAACAATGAACTGTTGGAGGATAAGAATTATAGCCGATAAAATTCCAGTTATGTTTTTAAATTCTTTTTTAAGATTAATTTATTATTGATATAAGATTCAATCAACTTTTATTCTAAAGATTTAAGTTTTTTTATTTATTAATTTATATTCGTATTATCAAGTTCCTTTTTTTTATAGATGCAAAGATAAATTGAAAATATAAATGAAAACTGATTTTCTCGATTGTCAAACTTGATGCGTTTCATTAAAACAATTTTATAAAAAAATTTTAATTCTATATAAATAGAGGAAAGTCCCCTATTATGAGATAGGCGCCTAATATGAGATAGCGGCGTTTCTGCTAAACTATAGACGCTACCTATTGATTCCATCATGAATTGTCCTTGGAAAACTGTTTAGTAGAAAATTCATTATTAGATGATGCCTGTAGTCATCGTAAAAAAAGATTTTAGAATTTCGATATCTTCAAATTTCATTGAGATGAGCCTTTAAATATTGTTTATTATTTAATAAAATAAATATTTGGCAATAAATTCTTCATGTGGTGATAGAGTAAGGTCGTACTAATAGAAAAATATGGGATACGTTGAATTGCTTAATTACAGAAGTTAGATTTGATAATTGCAAAATCATAAGGCGTGGAAATCGTAATGAGATATCCAGGTTATTTCTAATATGAAATAACCCATGCTCCCATGTCATAGTGAAAATCGTTGCTAAAGTATAAATGTTATTGTACAATAATAAAAAACAACCGGAATGAATGTCTATTTCTGCGATGCTTGATTTCAACTACCTGAAGACGAGTCCTGGGTATAATGTATCGCATATTCATTTTTCGCACCCTGGCTGTGTTTATTTGTATTTAAGAAACATTAAATAAAATTTTTTAGCTACAATACTGATATACTTTGCGTTTTACTATCGATTTCTCAAGGCATTTCATATTAGGAGCACAATTTTTTGACTTTGCGATTTGCTCATTTTTTTCTTTAAAAAAAAAATGAAATTTGAATTAAATTTTATATAACATTTTCTTAAAGCTTATTAAATTCTCCTCAAAATGATCTATTATTTTTTTTAATTCTGCCCATAGACTTCTAGCATTTACTCAAAATGAACTCGGTATCTCATAATAGGAGTCTTTTCTCTATATATATTCTCATATATCGCACTATTCCTTGTAGCCACATAATGAAGTATGAATATGTAAACGCAAATAAACGAATTAACTCCAACAAAATAACGTACTTCTTAATTATAATTTCCTACTCAAACAATATAACTATAATATAACATTTGTACTATATTTACAGTTATATTAATTATTGAAAGAGAAATTACAAAATGACAGGACGTTATATATAATATAATTTTGTGTTTCTTAGGATTGTTCTATGTAATTATGTTCTACCTAAGCGAGAATGTTGGTTTCTTTCCAGAAACAGTACGAGGCTCATTTACTTCACGCTTATGTGAATTACCGGCCACCCGGTAGTGTCACCGAGGATAGTGGCATCGCCAGTCAGAATGAGGATAGATACACGAAGAAAACTGTCGCGTTGGCACATCCCGATTTAGCATCTGCGGAAACAAGAAGCATTTCATCACCGCGATTGCATCCGGGGGCGCCTGGTCCACAGTCGAGTCAGCCAAGGTCTACCTCCACTTCCAAGTTGCACGATCAGACTGTCGTAGATGCCTCGTTAAATAATCCTCCACCAATTTTGATAACTACGCCATTAGGTGCAACCCGCGATGTCGACCATCGTCAGACGAATGTTCTACATGGACCACACATTTATGCCTCCGTGCCGAACGCTCATCAATATCCACGAATGATACCTTCCAATTATGACGGAAGTGCGCCTAATCTTCAGCATGTTTCGGACATTCGCGTTTCGTATGCGGAAGCGCCGATATTGCCAATTGCGCCTTCGGATAATCTCACTAATCGATTCTTCATGGAATCGACGCAAGTCTCACCCGGTCTTTCGGCGACCGCGCGGTTTCCCGCTGGAGATATCTCACAATATGAAAAGAACGTGCCTGTTCAACACCAATTTGACCCTTTGACCTCACGTCATTATCACGACACCAACATGTTGACGTCTGATCCACGATCGCAGATAAGAGAATACAATCCATCCGATACCGCAACCATGGAACCGACTTTAATGACCGGGAAATCGAGTACATACCGAACAGGATCTGACATGAACATTGCTAATCAGGTCAGTCCTTTACCGGGATACATGGACTACATCCTGGCGAATTCGCAGAAATCCGATGATGAAGGATCCACTCGTTCCATCACCAGCGACGACCTGGACAATTTGATGAGGCGCAACGAACATTTGCTGTGGGGCAACGCGGATATTGCCAAGACTCTGTCGCCGACCGCTTTGGGAACAGATAACTTTAATCTGGATGATAATGGCAGGACGGCGATTCTAGAGAAAGAACTGGATCGATATATCAGTAACATCCGGAGGATCCATCGGGAACACGGCGTGCAGAGCGTGGACGAACTGGACCATGAGCAGAACACTAGCGGCGATTTGTTAAATGTCTCCCTGACCGAAGATGGTCTGGAACTTCCAGCCGAGGATCGGGTGAAGAAGGAGAGGGTACCCGAGGAAATGGGCAAGATTCTAGCATTAGCTAGCGATCTTGCGTCCAGGACGGCGACTCTGAAGGATATTGCACGAAATTCAGTCGGGCAAAACGGTAGTGGAAGACTCATGGAAGTCGAGGGTGGAATTAGTCATCGCGAGAATGCAAAAAGCGATGCGACGGAATGTAAAGAGGAATGCGAGGCTGAAGGACGTACAAGAAATGAAATTCAAGAAGACGTTGCGACACACTCAGCGAAATTAGATCGACCGCGCGAAGACGCGCAGATTGCGAAAGAGAACTGGAATAACGCGGCCAATTCAGCCGAGTCACGGGAATGCGATCGGGAAATATCTACTGCGAAAAAAGACAGCGTGAATGAGGAAATAGTCGCGAGTGACGGATCACAGATCGATTCGAAAAGTGCGCCGGATGAGAAACAACTTGATCTTGTAACCGGTAAAGAATCGGATATCGATGGTGTGTTTGATACTGCCGAGGAATTGGCGCCATGGGATCTTGCAAGTGTGCAGAAAAAAGTTCGCGAGTTACATTTGGACGATGCTGATGGAAACCGAGTGGCGGGAAAAAATGCCGAAGCTACGATGGACGTCAAAGAAGACGTCATTAACGAATCGTCACGATTCATCGATCAAAACGTGAATGACAAAATGGACGCGCGTCCTCCGCAGGATACACTTCCTTGCTCGGAAATAGAAATGAAAACATTGGACACAAGCGAGGTAAATGAGATCGAGGAACAAACTGAAACACGTGGACCTATCGAGGACGTTCAAGACGTACCTTCTAAAAATTTGGGTCAACATTCAGTTGATGAATCTAAGACCGCGTCGCAGCCAGGTGAGGAACTTGGTGAACAAGACGAAAGTGACAAAAGAAAGCTGGACAACGACGAGACGACGGAACTTCGAGTTGATGATCAAATCGAAAATATTGTGAAAGATGGTGAGTACACTGCCGAGCAAGGATACGCTGAAGATCCGAACCAAACGCAGCAGTACGAGCAACAAGATCCAAATCAGCAATATTACGACCCAAACATGCCATACGACGCTGGTAACGAGGAGTATTCAAGATACGCTGATCAAGGATACGCTCAAGATGGTCAAGAGTACGTCGAGTATGTGGCTGACCAGTATGAGCAGTACCCTGAAGATCTTAATAATCAACAGTACCAGCACTATCCTGACGCACAGTACGAGCAGGATCCGAATCAAGCGTACGATTACGGCTATGACCCCAATCAAGGATATGGTGATCCTGCTCAGCAATACAATCCTAATCAAGAATATGAGAATAATCCTGACACTCAGGCGTACGATTATACTGAGCAAGTCCCCTATGATCCTAATCAGACATATGATAACGCGTACGAACAGGAGTATAAGGAGGACCAGCGGAATCCTGGTGACGACGCCGAGGGTCATGTAGAGAAATCAGCAGAAGAGACCTCACAAATACAAGTGGATCCAGAATTGGAACATAAATCGGACAAAGATGGGGATAAATTGCAACAGGCGGATGTTAACGTAGCGAGTCAATCGAAGAAGAAGAAAGATGTGATCAAGTCCCTTCTGGATTCCGATACAGATACGACGATCGAAAAAAATGTTTCGAACACAGAAAGTGATTTCGATTTCAATTAAGATATGCGACTATCGAAAGGATGTTGAACTTGTTACGGATGAAGAAAAATAGTGACGATGAGATCTCGTTAATAAAATTAATGAGATCTTGCATCTTTAAATGCCGACGTGAATATCTGCGATTAAAAGAGATGGCTATGAATAATTGTAATTTTTATTGAAACGTACAATGAGAGATGAAGACATAGATTTAGGTAGGTGAAGATAAACTAACGAATGTCAGTAAGACAAATGTGATCCAAGGAGGAAACGCGACTGAATCTTGAAATGAATTACGAAAACGGACTTCTATTTGTCCAGTTTATTCGTGAGAAGTGCCTAGAATATGGGATAATGAATTTAATTTTAATTATAGTTTCAATTAGAGCCCACGAGTTGTAGGCGAGAATAATTAATTGCGAATTTCGCTTGCTAAATATCATATTTACATAATGTAGATGTAGAATAAAATGAAGCAAAATGCGAATGAAAATGTACATTATTTCGTGGACGTTTACCTACTCTCGGAAAGGAAAAAATCTCGTTTGAGATTTAAATTAATTAATGTCTATAAATGCGCATTTATGCAGTTGCGAAAAAATTCATTGTTATAAAAACACGCTTGACATATCATTTTTTCACTTTAAAAGTGACGCGACTAAAAAAATGTAATTTCGGAGTTTATTATGAATGAGTTCAGTAAACATTATTTTAAAAGTGAACAATCTTCTCATAAAAAATTTTCAAAATTGTCACAACTAAAAAAAATGGTTTTTTAAGAAAACGAAAACGAAAAAAGTGGTACTTGATTATGAATATTCTTTTTGCCAATATTTATTTGATTAGTCAATAATTTTTTCTAGTTAAAAAAGTTTTCCCTTTTTTTGAGAAATTTAATTTTTTAAGTTGTTACTTTTAAATAAGAAAGCGACATTATAAAAATTGTTTTTTTTTTTTTTGAAGAATTGTTTGTTTGTGGAATTTTTCTATTCCATTTCTCATTCAAAGTATATATTGCGCAATATGTGCAATGAATTAATAAATAATTATATATTCAATAAATATACAATTATATTTAATTATAATTAATCCACGTATTGTGACATTACGAGACATGCGTAAGTGCATCGACAAATTCATTTTTTCATCTAATAATCTTGTCTTTTTTCATGCAAAATTTCAAGACTGAGTTTACAAGTTTGAAAAATTGATCGGAGTGTAGCTAACGCAGTCCCTCCAAGCTTTTTTATAATCTACGCGCGCATGCAAATAATTTATGCGTACACTACGCAACGCGAGACCCTCGTTCCCTCGCGTCCTGTATAATTAGTGCAACGCGGTGGCGGTGTGGTGGTCAGTCGCGCGGTATGGATTTTCACGGGATCGTATCGACGAGGAAGGGAATGAGTCTGCGCCAGTCGAAACGTCGCGGTTCGCAGCTGTGTCGAGCCTTCTCGACCAATCACGCTCAGTGCCACGCGCGTCACACCACGGGCGCAGTGCCGCAGGAGTCACCGGTGAAGAGATCGTTCGTTCATTTCGTCGCGAGTGTTCTGAGAAAGGTAGGTACCTTGTCCTTTTGTCACACACTTATTCCTCTTTATCTCTATTATTTTTTCTTCCCTCGGAATTATCGTCACGCAGAATCGCATTGTCTTGTGGAACGCGATGCGCTCTGTCTGGCGAATTGAGTGAAAGGAATTGAAAGAGACAGAGAAAGAAAGAGAGAGAGAGAGAGAGAGAGAGAGAGAGAGCAAGAGAATAAGATTTACGGGCACATAACAAAAGAAATTTTCATAATGTCCTATAATGAAACAAAGGTGAGGAATTTCATCGCAAAGCGGAATTATTTTTATTCAAGTTGTGGTACATATTCAATTCTGCATAGCAGAAACAGTTACTATTCCTACAATGAGGGTATAAATATATAAAAAAAGATTCGATTAAATTTAATACAATTCGCTAGAATTAATGAACTAATTATAAAAGAGAGTTGCAATTTGTATACGCCGGGTCATTCATGTCTGATACGTATATCATAGTATATATTTTCTACGTGCTCCGATAAGCATATTATCTAATTACGTGTTGAGGCATTAGTGACCCCATCCTATGCACGTACGTCACTTCGATATATCGTAAGATCGTAGTCAGTGACTCGCACGCTGCGAGTCGCAGCGTGCGTCAGACTTCACTGTCACGACGACGCACACGGCACAAAGCGTGTTTATGTGGCGCAGCTAGAGGCTGGAGCGTGCACCGGCTCCGTTCGAGACGATCGGAGTATTCGCGTGAGTGCGTATTCGAGAGGAGAACCTCACGCGTGGCGTCGACCATAGTCGAACCGCTTTCACTTGAATATTGTCTCGCGTCGTGCCGGTCGCGCGTAATCGAACGTCGCTGAACGTCGCCGCATTCGTGTCGCTATCGCACCGCTCTCGAGCAACTTCACTCTGTCGATTGTGCGGATCGAACTGGTCTGTGGATAGCGCGTACGGCTGCGCTGTGATTGGCCGAACGCGTGTGCCGCGCTGCCTCGTGATTGGCTCGCTTCTTTCGTCGCGTAGCTGTGTGCCGTTGTGATCGTCCGACAGTGGCGATCTCCATCGCGTACAAGACATTCCTCGTCATCCACAGAATCAGGCCAAACGAACGTGAGAGATCTTGTTTCTTTTTTAAGAGAAATATTTTTCTTAAAAAAATCTAATTTCTTAACACTGCAGCTAATATGGCTATATAGAGGGAATCCGGGTGCGATAAATTGCACCGTGGCACGACATAGATGTCGAGCGATAATAATTTCGCGTTTGCTGCATGAAACGCATAAAAATTCTTACGATGAATCATTAGCATATCAATTGATCTGACACGAGCTGCACGTGTGCTCTTTCCCCGTAAAAGTCTCTAATGACCGAATGTGCAATGTGAGCGAAGGAAGAATGACGTGTACATGTTTATCATCGCTGTACTGGCCTATTTAAAACTATATATTTCTTGCATAGTTCATACATTTTACGCTGGTATATAATATATCTTATTGCATGTATATGAAGAGAGATGTAGTATGTAAATATTTTCTCGCGTAATTTTTTGACATTTTAAAAAACCTGTCACGTAAAACAACATTATAAAATTAATAACTATATATTTTAACTCTTCATTTGGAATCTGAGTCTTTCAGCGAAATTTTAAATTCGTGAGCTCCAAAATAAAACAAAACAAAGTTCGATTCCCCTCCTAAAGTTTCTTGTTAAAAAACTGTTTGGTAATGTAATAAGAGAGATGTTGAAAAATAATTTTTTTTCCTGCATTTTTTTACATTTTTTGAAAGCCTAGAACAGTAAAAAAAATTTGAGCTAGACGGAGGGAATATAAGTGTGATTGCAGACGGAGGTTAACGAAATAAAATAATTATGTTACTAATTATTTTATTATATTAACTATTAACTGTTTCGAATTATTAATTTTTATTATTTATTTTTGCATATATTAAACAAATTAAGTAAATTAGAATATTACAAATTAGAATGTTTAATAATAAAAAAAGATGAATAAATAATTATTCATATATTAAAAAATGAAGAGCAACATTTAAACAGAAAGAATAATTTAACTAATTAAGCAAGGTTAAATCAATTATTTTACTATTTAATGAAAATTGTTGACGATTTCAGTATTTTAACATAGAAACTGTATAATCAAAGAAAAAATTATCTTTAGATATAAACTTTTTCGATTATGATGTAATAGAATATTTAACTGTCACGCATATCATAAATTAATCGAAAGATCGATTGTGCATATGTGCGCAGAAAAAAAACTTAATCGCATCGTTGTATATTAATAAATAAACTGCAACACGCTCCAACTTACGTAGGCATTAATAATTAAATCGCTAAATTTAACGGAAAGATATTGCACACCGTTGTTTCTCAAATGATTTGAAATTCCACAGTAATTATAATGATGCGATTAATCCCTATTTAAACGAGCGCAGCTCTTAATTGTCAGTTAAAACGAGCTGAACGTTTAAATTTGATAGAATAACAAATTTGTTGTGTCAGAGATGTGCGATAAAACTAATCGAAGTACAGCATCAATATTATGCGAATCAGATTGTAATATATATCATGTTAATTCGTTTGCACATCTATTTGCATTAAATCAGTCGATGATTTGTTTTTCAGTCCTTTCTTCATAATTTTCTTTTATTAATCATACATTATGATCTTTCATATATTCATATTGTTAATCAGATAGTTAAACAATAATAATTAAATTTTTTCTTATTCAGAATTGTTACAAAGATTTATATTGCAGTGTACTTTTATTTTCTCACAATTAGCTTTTCTTATCGCAAAGATAAGAATGCTTATGTGATTTCTTCGATAAGAAGAGATCTTTTGATACTTCAGAAAGTTTTGATAATATAAAAAAGAAGAGACAGATTATAGTTCAATATTCCAACTTTAAAGTAGTATTCTTAACATTTTATCATTATAATTGGTGATTTATATATTATTTATTTAATTATAAATACAATAAAATTAGTAACAATCATGAATATTAAAGAGAAAAATATTACAGAAAAAAAACATATTTTTAGCAAATTGTGTCAGTGTTAATTTGTCGTGTTAATTTCTTTTACATAACATTTGTAACTAAATTTCCTAATATATTCATCTTGTGTTAAATAAACACAAAAATTTGAATGAGCCGTTTGGGATACATCAAATGTATTTTTTATATAAATTTTTTAATTATATTCTTGGAAATATTGTATTTAAACATCTTCTTACACAAAGCCTTGCAATTTGCGCGCATCGAAAGCTTATCGTAAAATCAATGGCTGATAATGCAGCCACGTCAACACCGCGGATAATTAAATAAAGCGAGCACTCAAGATGACGAACGCATTTGCAGAATTATGGAGGATGTGATGGCCATGAACGGCGTGAAGGAGGTGAACGGTGACACAGACAGGCTCTATTACGAATTGGATGGCGAGGGCGACGCCGACAGCTCGACAACTCCGAGCCATAATGTGGATCACCATCGCGATCGTGAGTACCATCGATTATTATTTTATGATGTAACTAGTTCTAATCTATTAGTCGTGCGAAAAGCGACCCGTTACAATATGCAATCATAACTACGAGACAAGATAATGAGAATAACGATTTTAAAGTCAAAGTTGTCAAGATGTTATATCCTTTGACAGACGTTTATTGAGTCAAAGTTATT